GCGTGGTCGTGAGCTGCCGTCTCCCAGAAGGGTTGGTCCCGGCTGCTCCCAGCATAGTCGAGTACGGATGTTAGTAACACCCTCCGGTAATGGCGCGTTATAGTTGTACCCAGTCGGCTGGTCCTGGATCTCGGTGTCCTGGATGATCGCGTTGTCGTCGAGGTTCATCGTCACCCGTCGCACAACATGGTACCATTCAGGGCCATTCTTAGGAGATTGAACGTAGGTTCGAACTCCTTTTCTTAACACGAGTATGAATGCTCAGATGTACAGCACTTGTATGATTTCTTTGCGCTTTATGTAAATCCATTTGATCGATCCACCTTGCGGTCATGATCGCTAGTGACTTATTCCGCCATTCGGCTTTCTGAGCACCTTGTCCGTACCAATCCAGAATATGCTCAGTAGGATCTGCAGGTTCCCCTGCTCTGTTGCATGTGCATCTCCATCAATTGGTGGGGATGCGCGTGCACGTAGTAGCCACTTGCAGATATGATCCGCTGGGCAACTTGTTCGCGCGGTCGCACTTGAGGCCGACATGGCAGAATCGCGTGCGCATGACTTGTAAATCAAGATCTTCAATAACATCTCGCATGGGACCTTGTCTCCAGAAATGCCCTGGTGGCCCCACAAGTACAACAGTCATGCGTAGAGCCCGAGCCTTTGACATCAGATTTTGGATACGCTGGCAATGTGGCCCTGCCCGTTTGCCAGGCAGCCTCACACGCCAGCCGGCAGGTGTCGCAACCCACGACAGTTGGTAATCACCCGAAAGTAGCGCACCCAAATTCTGTGTACCAGTGGAGGTCATCACCTCTGTATGTGCGATACGGTCGCACATATATCACGGGCACGGAGTTCAGCGCAAGCTGTCCGTGCATCCTCAATAACGAATGCACGAGAATGATAATGATGCGACAATCCTTCTTTTCCTGCAGCGGCCACACAGCCAGGCCCACTGCTGTCGGCGGCAGCCGCGCAGCCGGGATCGCCGCGGCCCCTGGCGCGCGCAGCCGGTGCCTCGGAAAAGATTGCAGGTTTCCCCGCGCTTGCTGACAGCACCTGAATGGTCGGCCTGCCCTTGCAAGCGCGAGTGGCCGCGGCGCGCGCCTGCCCCCGTCACTCGTTTGGCGATGGGGGCGTCCATGTACCAGTGCCGTGCGTGCTGCGCTGCAGAACTGCTGCTTGAAGTAAATATATCAAACTTCTCCGCAAAATCATTTTCTTCCGTGGGTGTCCCTGCATGTGTGTCAGGAGGAGTCCATTTCCTCCCCTCCTCGTGAATGGCCTGATATATCTTCGCCGGCAGGTTGCGGAGGGCGAAGTCCTTGTCGGCCGTGGCGGGGGCAGTCCCAAAGGACGCATTTCTGCGATGCCAGGTCCTTAAAGTGTCGTTCACCAAAGACTGGATCGTGAAAACGAAGCTCTCCTCATTGATGGAAAAGCTGATGCCCTGCATGTCTTGCGACATCATGAATGCATGGGCGTCGCGCACATCAGGTGTCCCTGCATTGGCTCTGGGTCGGAAGCCTCCTTGACAAGCAACGGAGCTTCTTCGCACTGAGGAATGGCCGTGATAGTTAAGGACATCGGCCCTTGATCCCCCGCAGCCGTCTCGCATTCATTGGCCTTGAGTGCCAGATGCCCGGAGGGCGTCGTCATCAAATCAAGCGCCCTGGCACCCTTTCCGAGTAGAGCCTTGCGCGTCTCCACTCCAGGGGTGATCATGTTCTGGTGCCCCTGCTCGAGGATCAGAATGGTCCTCATGTTGGACATGCTCCTCAGACCCAGAAGAGCAGGGAGGTTCTCTCCAGAGCCCTCAGCCACATTTGCTAAGTGCGCATCAACTCTCGGCACAGCAGGTTGCCCAGCATGGCCACCATGGCGTTGTTCAGGTCGTAGGGAATCGCGCGGCCGAGCGCCATGTGCTGCAGCAGGTCCGCAAGCACGCCCAGACTGCCATGCGAGCGCAGCCATGGACGGCACGGGAGGCCGTCGGGCCCAGGCGCGGAGTCGTCTGCCAGACGTGCGGCGGCGCGCAGGTCCTCGCTGCTGGGGAGCTGAATGTCGAGGCGCGGGCGCTGCGGAAGGCGCCGTCGAGGTAATTCCCCATCGCTGGCACGTCGACGTCCTTGGCGGCGAAGACCATGCCCCAGTGCGATCGGATGGCCGAGTGCGTCGCCATGGGATCGGCGACGGTACGGTGGGTGGTGCCAGGGGAGATGCGGATGCCGGCGAGGACGAGGCGCTTGGCGAAGGGCTTCCAGAGCTCTCCACGTTGCGCCTCGCGACGCGATCGCTGTCTCCATCGTTCTCCAAGGTCTCGGCGCTGCTCTTGAAAAGCAGCTCGGGGTCGCGCAGCGGCTTCCTGTCGACGGAGATCAGATCGGCGATGGCGAGGTGGGTCGCGTCAACTTTAACGGCGAAGGCGCCCACGTTGGCGATGGCGATCTGGTCGTTGTAGAAGGTCAGGCAGGAGGCGCCAACAGTGGCATCGTTCGCGAGGAGAGAAGCGAGGTGCCAGTCCTGGTGCCAGACGGCGCGGGCGATGCCGCGCAGAGTCATAGCGCGAGCTTCACGATTGATAGACGGGCCGTCGTCTCGAACTTCGGGCGGGTGGATGGCGACCAGGGCGTCGCGAGCCTTCTGCGCCGCTGAGGTCATGAAATGCTTCATTGCGCGCCACATCGAAACAGGGTCGAGTAGGTCGAGGTCAACCATGTCCACGAGGCGCTCGCAGTAGAACTTATAGTGCTTGGAATTGAAGACGAACGCAGGAAAGCCTCGCCCCGCCGAAGGGCGCTGAGCGCGGGGACGGAGCCAAAGACGAAGTGCATTGCGATCGCTAGCGGGTTCGCCAGCGCGCTCGAGAGGGCGGCCGCCCAGGGCGAGGCGCGCCTCGAGGTGGGGCACGTGGAAAGTAGGCGCGGGGGCGAAGCAGTGGTCGATCGTGGCCTCAGTCTCGTTGGCGGAGCAGCGGCGCGTCGTGGATTTCGTCGCGATCTCGACCATGGTAGAGAAGACCTGCTTCCAGCAGGCTGGCCGGCACTGGTTTCTGTCCGCGATGGGCGCGCCCGCGGGGCGTAGCAGGCTTTTGGGCGGCAGCTCAGAGATGTTGAAATCGCCGATCAAGACCAGGTTGCGCGCGTCGGGGTTGACGTCGAGGCGGGCTTTGGCAGCAGACCACGCTGCGGTAAAGTGCTGGCGGTCGGTCACGGTCAACTCGTGGTTGTGTGCGTTGAAAACAATGGTCTCGCACTGGCGCTCGGCATCGAGGGCGCGGAGCTCGGCGATGCGGTCCTTCACGAGCGGGGCTCGCTCTTGTCATAAGGGGCAAGGAAGCCGACGCCACCTGGCCACATTCTCGTCGATGTCGTTACAGGCCGAGTGGAACGAGATGTAAGGGCGGTGCAAGGAGTCGGCGAAGTTCTGACGGTCAGCGTAGTTGCCGTGCGTTTCTTGCAAAGGGATGACCGCGCGCTGCCTCGTGTAGGGCAGCAGGACGTTGCGCTTGATGGCGCGGCGAGATGAGGAACGGCCGAGAAGGGCTCGAGCGTTCCAGGAGACGATGTTCATGTCGTCGGAATGCGGTTTGACGAACCACGGTGACCACCTCCTGCGAAAGCCACTGCACGGAAGCCATGGGGTCTGCGAAGGCGGCGGCGAGTTCCTTGTCGCACTCGTCGTGCTCGGACGTGGGAATGCCAGCAGGGCCAGCAGCGTCAGACCAGCGAATCCTGGTGGGAGCCTCTGGCGTCGCGCCTGCGATGAGCTGGACGATGGGGGCATTGTTGGCCGAGAGGCACCCGTTGGTGCGGTGAGTCCTGAGCGTGATGTCGGGGTGCTTGGCGGCGATGAGCTTGCTGAGCTTTTTGGGCAGGACTTCCTGTCGAACCATGCGAGGATACTTGTCGGCCGAGACAGGCAAAAGGTGAGGAGCCACCAGCTGCGGTCATGGTAAATGTTCTGCCATCGCGTCCGAGACGTAAGGCTTGATGAAGAGCAGCAGCAGCAGGAATAGCCAAGATATTTCCGCCAGTGAGAGTGAACGGCACGCGTTTCTCAGGTCCACTCGAGTTGAGACGGATAGCGTTCATGTCCACGTTGGCGGCGGTGAACCGGTCAGTGAGCGCGTGCTTTAGGGCCGAGGATTCGAGCTCTGCTTGAGCTTCACAACAGAAAGTAGCAGCGTTGGGCTTCCTGTCCCAGTTCCCGACACTGCCGATGATGATGGAGGGATGTAGGGCTTCGGCATGAGCGAGGGTCCGCTTGATGTCGTCAACTGTGGCTTGTAGATCGGCATTAAGTTGTTCATCTCTGTCGGCTTGAACTTTAAGATAAACGACGTCACGTTCCACTCGTTCTTATATTTTGCAGAGCTCCTCAGAGTAGCATGGTTGATGGTCTTGATGAACTCGGCCTGGGCCTCGTTGCAGACCCGCTTGGAAATTGTTTCAAATGCTTCGGCTGCCTGGTCGACTTGAACTTGAAGGAGGTCTTGACGTCTTTCCGGTGGTGAGCAGGGAAGCCTGAAGCGAGTAGTTTCTGCGCGCCAGCAGCCCAGGGATTGACGTGTCCGCCTGTTCCTTCTCCTTTGACTCCGAGCGCTGCGCGGACGTTGGGGGCTTCACCACCACCCGAACCCATCTGTCCACTTCGGCCGCAGATGAGAGGAGGCCCGCGCCAGCCTCGAGATAATGCGCGTGGTATGGAGGCTGACCGCAGGCGAATGCGGCAGCGAAGGATATGAAACTCGACACCGCGGGCGCAGTGAAGGCGTGAAAGCGGGGTCCTCGCTGGCCCTGGACCAAGTGTCTCCGTGCTCTGCCACGGGGCAAAAATATCTTGCGCCTAAATGGCTACGGGAGGAGGAGGAGGAGGAGGAAGAAGAAGAGGAGGAGGAGGAGACCGAGGAGGAGGAGGAGGAGAAAGAGGAGGGGGAGAAGAGAAAATAGCGGCAAAGGCAGAGGAAGGAAGGGAGGAAGGGCAATGATGGACGCCTGCTCCATCTGCTCCGGGCACAGCCTCAGCGCCTCTGCGTTACAGTGCTTGGCGAGGCTCGGGTTCAGGAAGAATTCCCTCTGCTTGAGCTTATTGTGCCCTCTGAGAACCTCCCGAGGCCGCCGTGCTCCCTTCTCCTGCCCCTCCTCCTCCTCCTCCTTCTCCTCCTCCTTCTCCTCCACCTCCTCCTCCTCCTCCTCCTCCTCCTCCTCCTTCTCCTCCTCCTCCTCCTCCTCTTCCTCTTATTCTGAATGTTTGGCGGACTCCAAGTGCCAGGCTTGTAGTTAGCGTTCGGTGTCCTCCTCCTCCTCCTCCTCCTCCTCCTCCTCCTCCTCCTCCTCCTCCTCCTCCTCTTCCTCCCTTCTCCCTCCCTCCTCCGCCTACTCCTCCTCCTCCTCCGCCTCCTCCTCCTCCTCGCGCTCCACGCTCCGCCTCCTCACCCTCCTCCGACACCACCACCATCGTCATCATCATCATCATCATCATCATCATCATCATCATCATCATCATCATCATCATCATCATCATCAGCATCATCATCATCATCATCATCATCATCATCATCAGCATCATCAGCATCATCACCACCATCATCATGAGCGGTCATCAGCGGCAGCAGCAGCGTCACCATCGTCATCATCATCATCAGCATCACCATCATCATTAACATCATCATCAGCAGCATCATTATCACCATCATCAACAGCATCAGCATCCGCATCATCAGCATCAGCATCAGCATCATCGTCATCCTCGTCATCATCACCACCACCATCATCATCATCACTAGCATCAACCATCATCATCATCATCATCATCATCATCATCACAACCAGCATCATCAGCAGCATCATCAGCATCATCAATATCATCATGACCATCATCAGGAGCACCAGCATCATGAGTGTCGTCATCATCGGCATCACCATCCTCATCAACAACAGCATACGCATCAGCATCAGCATCGTCATCAGCAGTATCATCAGCATCAGCATCTGCATCATCCTCATCATCATCGTCATCATCAGCATCATCATCATTGTCATCATCAGCGTCGCCGTCGCCGTCATTAGCAGCAGTAACAGCAGTAGCAGCAGTAGCAGCTGCAGCAGCACCAGCATCATCATTATCATCACCACCATCATCATCATCATCAGCAGCAACAACATCAGCATTAGCATCAGCAAGAACACCAGCATGCGCGTCAGTACCAGCATCAGCATCAACAGCATCAGCATCAGCCTCGCCATCCTCGTCATCATCGTTATCATCGTTATCATGATCACCCTCATCCTGATCCTGATCATTACTATCTCCCTCACTCCCCTCCCTCCTCCCGCGTAAAGGGAAGGCCGTGTCAGATCCAACAACATGGGCACGGGGAACCTGGGCTGGCCAAGGCTCAGAGCCCGCCAGACTCGGGGGAAGCAGGACGGGGGGAATCGCGCGGAGGAGGAGCAAGAGGAGGAGGAGGAGGAGGAGGAGGAGGAGGAGGAGGAGGAGGAGGAGGAGCAGCAGCAGCAGCAGCAGCAGCAGCAGCAGCAAAAACTCCACGCCTGACCAGAGGGGGGCGGTGCGAACCCGGTTTGGCCAGGGCTCAGAATCCACCCGCCAGGGGAAGAAGAGGAAGTGGAGGAGGAGGAGGAGGAAGAAGAAGAGGAAGTGGAGGAGGAGGAGAAGGAGGAGGAGGAGGAGGGAAGGAGGAGGCAGAGGTGGAGGAGGTGGAGGAGGAGGAGGAGGAGGAGGCAGAGGAGGGAAGGAGGAGACGAGGCGTGAGAGGCGAGCACGCTCCGCGGAGGTGGCGATTTTGCGGGGCGGTCCCGCATCGTCGCTGGGATGCCTCTTCGGAGCTGTGCGCGGGGATCAGCTGAGCGACGATCAAAACCGGGTCTTACGCGAGATGCCGTAGCGACCCGACGCGGCGGCTTACGCGGGCCGCCAGCGCGGCACGTTGCATTAGGAACGAGGGCGCTGACGCGCGAGCTTACGCGGGCAGCTTACGCGCCAATGTCGGTGAAGACGACCCCGTTTTCTTCCGTCGCTCAGGTGGCGTTGAATGGCCAGTCCCAACGGGTCCCTGGAGGGTCCCTGGGAGAGGTCCTCAGCGTGCGCTGCCTCGCTGCGTTCTTCTCGATTTGGACTTGGTTTGGTTTGTTCTAGAGTGCACGTGTCTGTGTTGCGCCGATATACAAGTACCGTCAGCAATGCTGGTGTAATACACGTGATGTTTGCCAGCGTGCCCCCAAAACAGTACGCTGTTGCTATGTGCACTCAACGTGGCGCAATCGATGTGACATATAATGCGGGGCGCAGTCTATAGTGCAAGCTGCGGGGTGCAAACTACGCGGTACCACCTAGTGAACGTTTTCTTATTCGGCGTTTCGACATTGGGCGGAACGGGGGGGAGGGAGGGGGGTCTGGCTCCGGACCTCTGCTTAATGCGACAGTGTGCAACAGTGTGTCCGATGGAGGAGACTCCACCTGCTGGAAACAGGCGCCAAAAACAGCCAAGACTCCATGGGGCCATGGGGGGAGGGGGTGCGAGGACCCGCAACGATCGGCAACACAATGAATAAGAGCACGATCGTTCTATGAAGTGCAGACTTGTTGGTGCAAACTACCCACTACTTCTGAGGAACTTGAAGTTGATAACTCCACTGCTCGCGCAAGAATTTCACCCTCCCACGCGCAACGTGTTTGGCAAAACCAATTCGGCCGAGATCACGGCTACTGGTTGGCACTTGCTGGCGCATCTCTACGGCCGCGCTAGCACGCGCACGCTCGCGCGCAAAGCGACAAGCTGGTTCGGCACAGCTGACGCGGCCGCCATCGAGCTTACCGATAGGAGCTCCCCAGCGCGTCTCACAGGCCGTGCTGGCGCGCGTGCACTTCAGTGCGGGTCGGTGACTCGGGCGGGCGCGTTGGGGAGGGGCCCTCCTCCCTGTTGCGTGGGAACGCCCGCCGAGCGCTCTCGCCTGGCGGCCTGTGGGGGATGGGGGGGGGAGCGGTTAGGGCTTGGAGGGGCCGGAGCCTCTGGAGGACTCCCAACTGGGGTCGCATGATCGCGTCGCATGGGCGACGCGTCGAACATGCACTGTCGATGCATCGGCGATGCATCGGCGCGGGCCCCACATCCAGCCGCATCGCTGATGCATCGGCAATGCGTAGAGATGCTCCGACCCACCCCATCTGCTCAGACCCAAGTTAGTTGGAAGGCCTGGAGCCTTTCCTGCTTCCTGCTCACCCCCCTCTGCTACTCTGCTGCCACCACGACCGCTCCTGGGGCGCGGTCTGACCAGGACCTCGGAGCCGATCAAGCCGTGACGACGAGGCTCCCCCCAGAGTGTCCATCCCCACTTCTTCCCCTCCTCACTCCTCCCCTCATCCCCTCCTCCTGTGGAGGCCACCCGGATGGTGCTGGAGTAAGCGGGGCCAGAGGATCGTATCGCATCGGCATCTACGACGTCGGAACCATCGGGATGGATAACATCGGGCTCTGGGTTGCACCGCATCGCCAGTGCGTCCGCGATGCGGCGCGATCCTCCGAGCCCATCCACTCTGGCCCCACTGTTGGGTGGCCTGGCTCCCTCCACCCGAGACATCCTCACCCCCGAGGCCTCCACGCACTCCCTGGGCATGTCCGGCGAAGCCCTCTGCTTGAAGAGGCAGGCCCACATCCGGCCCCCGCCCGGCTCCACGCCCGGGCAGAGCTTCTCCATGACCGGGCCACAGCGCTCCTGCCGGCGGTGCCGGGGGAGGGGGAGGAGGGAGGAGGTCCTCGGGATCAGGCGTCAAGGGGTCGGCCTCGAGGGTTCGGCATGCGTATGGATCCCCCGCGGGGAAGCATGGAAGCAGGAGCCTGCGCGTGTTCGCGGGCTTGCCTGCGAGAGCTGCTGGCCTGGTCGATGCAAACAGCTGCCGCGTCAGCGGGAGGCGGTCCCTCCCGCCCACCAGGGAGGAGAAGAGATCGGACGAGGCCACAAGAGGCTGCAGTTGGAGGCGCGGGAAAGAGCGGGAGAATTGAGATACGCCGATGCCGCCGTTCCCCAGACCTATCCCAAGGAAGGTGCGCTCTGACCAGGACTTCGAGGCGTATCCAGCCGCGGCGACGAGGGACGGTTAGCGCTATGGGCAGATTCTCCTCTCCTAAGGGAGGGGAAACAGGTGGAAGAAGGAGAACAATAATGGGATGCAGAAGGACATAAGAGTACTACGCTCTGATGTTGGAGGTGCACCTCCGTCACGAACATACAGCAAACCTATCCTATGGTAGATCGTTTCCCAAGCGGCGTGGCCAGAAAGCGCCCGCCACGGAACTTGTACTATAGATTCCCGAGTGTGCGCGTCGCCCTTGCGTGGCCGACGCACATCCCGTCTGAATCTCCTCGGGCGGTGCCGAGAGAAACCGACGCAGCCGCCGCCGCAGCCCGCCGGTCCTGCGCCTCTGGGCTCATCCGGATGTCGTTCGACCTGAGCGCACCCGCGGGGGCGGGCTGTGGGGCCAGCCGCGCGCGGCCCCGGGGACCCCAAGGCCGTGCACGGCGGCAGCCCAACCGGAAACCGGCCGAGCCGAGGGCGAAGCCGCACCCGAAATCGACAGGCCGAAGGCAGCCCGGAGCGGCACGGCGACGCGGCAACGGCACAGGAAACGGACCGAACCGCACCGACCGAACGTCACCGACTGCGACGCGACCGAACCGACCGATCCGTGATGGATGGGAGAAGATAATTTCAACAGTGCGTTAGCCCTCGGGGACTCTGCCAACCCCCGATTTAGCCTCGCGTGCTTTGCGTGTTGGGCCAAACAACTACGGACCGCTCCATGGCGAGAGCCGCGATGAATAAGTAAATCAGAGGAACGTTCTATCAGCGAACCTTCGTCACCATGATGGGACCACGCTTCATTGTGAGACCCGAGTCCACGGGTGTTGGCAAAGTCCCCGAGAGCCAAACCACTGTTGAAAACATCTTCTCCCGTTCACATCCGTGCAAACCCGACGCCTTCGACCAACGGTGCCTCCCACGGCTTTCAAGCGGCCGCCGTGCGGCGAGCCGGGAGCGGAACGGCGCTTCTGCGGGACTGCCTCGGGCGCCCAGAAGCCGGCCGCGACTCCTCGGCGCTCCCCTCGGCCGCCCTCCTCCTCGCGGAGAGGAGGCCTCTCCGCGGAGGTCCGGCCTCCTCTCGAGGAGGTGGTGCTCGATTTATGGAAGCCCATCTTGGTCAAGATGTTGGCGGATTAGCGGCAAGTAGCGGCAAGTAGCGTCCACCGCCTAGCGGCAAATAGCGGCCCACGCCCCGCGCCAGCCGTCCACCAATCACCCCCCTATTCGCCGCTCATGGCCGCGAATTCGGCTTCCATTCGGTGCTTCATGCACGCATCGGGCAGATGATACCAAGGAGGCTGTGTGCACACGTTCATTAGCACCGACCCTTCTCTCCGTCCACACGATCCCTGCGATTGTGCAAACCCAATGTTTGCACAAACCCTTATCTTCGCACTGGTCCGTTGGCAAACAGCAGCATGCGTGTACAAAGCATAAGTTCGCCAAAAACCTCGTGCAAACCAGATGCTCTACAAGCCATCCGTTCGTACATAGCCGTTTTTCGCCGAAGCCCTATTCTCCAAAAGTTCCCGGCGCAGGAACTATATACTGACAGACTGCTGTGCTCTCCACGGTTTCGACTCTCGCCATTACGCGATCGCCGCCCAGGAACATTCGTTGGTGAGCCGCTGGGAACAGTCGATCGGATTGGGTTGGCCACCATGGGTGCAGTCAGATCAGGTTGGTCAATTCCATATTCAGGCGCACCGCAACAAAGCCTCTACCAAGTACGCAGTGGAGAGCATCGGTAAAGCGCGTGGCGGTGCTCGCGGCGCTGCTGCCATAGAGGAACGCACGTGCCAAGAGCGTGTCATCAAAATTGTGCTCCAAAATGTTGATATCAACGTCTCTTGACGACTGCTGTCCTGCGCAAGAGCGGGTTTCTCCATTACTGAATTCAGTGTGGGCTTCTTGGGACCATGTACAAGACCCCGTGCCATCGAGAGCAACAGACTGCACACATGTCGGGACAACCAAAAGGAAAGTATGAGTTTTGCGCTAGTCGAGAGCCTAGGTCACGCCTCCACCTCCTCCTCGTCCTTCTCTTTTTCTCATACCGCTGGGGCAGGCGAGCGTGCGGCTGGCATAATCTTATGCGCTGGACATCGCCGCCTGGTTCTTGAACTCGGCCGCCGCGCACTCCTCGGACAGGTCCTCCTCGAGGGTGGGCGCTGATAAGGGGGGCAGGCAGAGTGCGCCAGAGCACTCCCGGAGAGCACCCTGTGGAGTGTCCCTGCGGTGCCCTCGCGCAGTCCGAACGCGGTGGCAAGGTGGGACACTGGCGCCCCGTGAAGGGGCCCCTGACAAGGTGGGACACTGCCCCAGGTTTGGGAGCCACTTGGGGCCAATTCCCTCTCCTCCTCCTCCTCCTCCTCCTCCTCCTCCTCCTCCTCCTCCTCCTCCTCCTCCTCCTCCTCCCGACGGGGCCCTGGCCGGCCCGACTTTGTGCCGACCTGGGGTCAGTACGTCCCCGATTCCCGACGCGAGGTCGCCCGATTCCCGACGCGAGGTCGCCCGGGCACACTGGCGACCCGTCCAGCCGATCCTTGTGGTGGACCAGGCATGTGTGCACCCGGCCGCGGCCGGCGGGCGTCTTCTTGCAGAACTGCTCCACGTCCGCCTTGCACGCCCGGTGGGCCTCGGGCAGGACCTGGATGTTCTCTGCGCCCCCCTTGAGGTAGCGGCCAACCTCGATCCTACAGCCGTCCTGTAGCCGCCGCCCCCCACCTGCAGGGGGCAGCGAGGCGCGTGGCGCGCACTGTAGGAGGCGTTGGATTAGGTCGGGCCTGTCCCCCCACAAGGAAATTGTGGGCGAAAAATTAAAGATAGTCAAAACATACCCAAAAAATCGTCCCCCGTTTTTTTTTTGTTTTTTCTATTTTTGAGTGCTCCTCCTGTAGAGGGACATGCCCGACTTAAGGCTTGGACATGAGCACCAACACCAACACAGGCAGTTAGCCTCCACCGAGGGAAGGTGTTCCTGGATGATGGTGTTGGCGTTGATTTCTCAGCCACCTAGGAAGTTCGAATAATATCACCATCACCGAGATCGGGATCCTCTTCCCTCGGTGGAGGCACACCACCGATACTGGTGTTGGTGTCAACCTCTAGGGCTCCGACACGGCCCTTGCACTGTGCGCGCGGGGATACACGATCGACGCCGGCGGCGCCCGGAGGGGCGATGGCGGGGAGCGCGACGGTCACCGAATCTCTCCTCCTCCTCCTCCTTCTCCTCCTCCTCGTCCTCCTCCTCCCCCTCCACAATTACACAATATGAATACAACTCTCCTCTCCCCTCATGACGTCCCGAAGATATCCGGCCCCCCCTCGCTTGGACTTGTTTTCCAAATGTTGCTCCTGTTGAAGCGCTGGCCTCATTTGCGGGCATCCGCTCGTTCCTAATCGTGCTCCCGCTGCAGCGTTGGCCTCATTTCCGCGCTTCCGCTCGTTCCGAATCGTGCTCCCGCTGCAGCGCTGGCCTCATTTCCGCGCATCCGCTCGTCCCGAATCGTGCTGCCGCTGCAACGCTGGCGTCATTAGTTCCAGTGCCATGCCACGGTATGGTTTTCGGTCCTTCCGAAGAGACCCCAAAATCTAGAAAGTGGCCTCCCGACAAAAACATCGGAAGTGAATACACATTCGGTGTCGATTCGTTCTTTGTTTTTTTGGCCCGCAGGAGCCCCCCCCACTTTTGGGCGTCGCCACGCCATGCTGTGTCATGCTACACGTTGATCTTCAACACCATGCTATGCCATGCTACGACATCCGATTGTGCGAATAGGAGATCTACGCCATGGTAAGGAATATGAGGAAAAGGTAGGATGTCAGATATGACGCGAGCGCACCTAGCCTGTCCTCCTCCCCCTCCCCCTCCCCCTCCTCCTCCTCCTCCTCCTCCTCCTCCTCTTCCTCCTCCTCCTCCTCCTCCTCCTCCTCCTCCCCAGATCTGGCCGAAGCCGTCGGGTTCCGCCGAAACGCCGACCACACGACGTATATGCAAGGCTGTGCCAATCGACCGCTGTGCCGGCCAGCGCCCTGACTCCACCTGCCCAGGGGCCAGGATCCCGCGTGGGGAGGGAAGGGGGAGGGCTGAGCCCGTCCACCTCCGCCCCGAGGACACGGCGGAATGGCGCCGGCCATCCAGGATGAGGTGGCCGGCAGTGTGCGCCTCGCCCAGGCACTCGAGCACGGCCGTGCCAGACGTCTTCGAGGCCTCACCGCAGTGGGCCTGCACGTCCTCCTGGCACTGGCTCGAGACGCCGTATTTCAGCTGCCAGTCGTGGTTGTTCGCCTCCAAGTCTGCGGTGATGGCGTGCCTGCCGCGACCACTCGTCCGACCCTGAGATCCTGGCGTCGCATTCCTTCGCAAAAAAAAATGTTGCTCATTTCGGGGCCCCGCACCCTCACGAATCGATCCGGCTCGGAAAATGCCGCCGAGAGAGGGGCCCAATGCTCTGGTCGAGTGTTTTTACGAGGTTGCATTTTTCTCGTGACGTCGGATCTCGGGATCTGCTCCACCCCCCTCTGCACACCAAGGTTGGAGACGCCGAGATTTAGATATTACCGTCCTCAGGGGCTCAGACATACTGGGTCTGGCATTTCACACTTGACCATAGCATGAAATTGAAAACAAACGCACGTATCCAAACCGCTTAGAAGAAAGTGCGCGAATCCCACCAGCCTTCTGGGCGTAGGTGGTTTTACGAGTTTTGCCTTCTCTCTGCAAAACCTCCCTCCTTCCCCTGCCCGGGGAAGGAGAGTCTCAGTTCCCTTTTACGGAAAACCCCCTCCCCCAGGCGATTGGCAGCCAACCAAGAACATGAGGACCTCCCCCACCATCCGTTTGTACTGGAATGGGACGGCGGGGGTGCTGGCATATTGCCTGCTGTGTGCAGGCCCACCAGATACTATGATGGCCGACCCGCCGCGATTGCGCACTGGTTTTCGACAAGGGTAGTGGGAGCCGACACGTTTCCCGATGTGCACTGCCACGTGCGCAGGCGCACCTGGCACACTCGGCGCGTGCCACGAACGTGGCGCACGCGGCGCGGCTGGAGCATGCGGCACACGTGGAGCACATGGATCACGTGGGCCAAAGGGGTTCCCGGCGCACCTGGCGCGCGTGGCGCGCCTGGCACGCGTGGCGTACCTCGACCCAGCATTGCGCACATGGGGTCCGTTTTTGTTCCCCGCAGCTGCACATCGAAAGACGACCGCTGAACATGCTGCGGCTAGGGTGCTACTTCTGTGTTGGAAGGGAGGGTCGGAGTGAGCGAGACAGCTTGCGGGCGGGGAGGGTGTCTTGACCCCTCCCCCTACCTCCTTCCCTAGGTTTGGACGGGGCGCCCCGCGAGGTGTCAGAGGGTGCTTTTAGGTCCAAGATGGCTCCAAGAGCCAAGAGGACCTCAGAGAACCCAGATGGCCTCCTAGATGGCACATGATGCTTCAAGATGGGTCAAAATAGCCTCCGACATGCCTCCAAGGGGCCTCGAGACGGCTCCAATACGGTTCCAAGTGCCGTCTGAGCCTTCCAAGGCACCCCTCAGAGGCTAAACTCATTACAAAGCCTATGGAGCATCCATGTTGTTTGCCGTCTCGCCCTTTTGTTTCCGATGGTCTTTTGAGGCCTCGAGACGACCCCAAGACAGCCCATGAGGGCCCCAGAGGGGCCCAAGAGGGCCCCCAGAGGGCTCCAAGAGCGCCCGAGATCGCCCCAAGAGCGCCCCACGAGGGCTCCAAGGCGTCCCAATTGAGCCTCCGAAGGCCTGAATTTCCTGCCCCCGCCCTTTTGAACCATGGGGCCCAAGGTCGCCCCAAGAGGCCTCCCAGACGTCCCCGCTGCAGGTCTTTGCGGGGTCTGTGCAGGGTCCCCCCCCCCGCAAAGACCATGCAAAGACCATGCAAAGAAGGCTCCCCACCTTTGCTGGTAAGGGAGCCTTGAGCCCCCCTGTTCAAAAAGAGGGGGGGTGCGAAATGAAGGGCCCCTCAGAGGCCTCCCAGACCCCCGCAAAAGGCACCAACAGGGTCCCAAGAAGGCCCGTATACAGCCAAGACGGCTCTAGGTCGACCTGTGCAACCTACTAGGTCGGGTGGTCAGTCGGACCGGTGATGCAGGAGCCCCTGCCCGATGACAGAAACGGCCTCCCACACTAGGCCACCGAGGGGGGTCTACATGTAGGACCCCCTCTTGTTGAGCCATGGAATCCAGCACGCGACATGCCTAAGGCAACAAGCAACGAGTGACACGTGGAGGACCGCAGGCAACCAGTGACACGTGAGGCCAGCAGGTAACCAATGACACATCGGGAGAAACAGGCAACCAGCGACACGTCGCGCAGGAGGCCCTGGATCCCAAGATGACCCCAGGGAGGCTCCAGACGACCCCAACAAGGCTGGCGTGACAAGGGAACATGTGTCGAATCATTCAACAGATGTACCAACCGTCGCAGAGCAACCTATCCCCAAACCCGACATATCGGTCTGTCCTTGCTTCCTGCCTGTTTCTTTTCTCCTCAGCGTCTTCGTGCCGCACTCCTCGTCCTCCTCCTCCTCCTCCTCCTCCTCCTCCTCCTCCACCTCCTCCTCCTCCTCCTCTTCCTCCTCCTCCTCCTCCTCCCCTCCCTCCTCATCCTCCTCCTCCTTATCCTCCTTCTCCTCCACCTCCTCCACCTCCTCCTGCTCCTCCGTCATCGTCTGTTCCTTCCGTCCTCCTCATCCTCCTCTTCTTCTTATTGTGTTGATTGTTATTCCTCCTTTTCCTCCTCCTCCTCCTCATCATCCTCCTCCTCTGATCCTCCTCCTCCTCCACCACCTCCTCCTCCTCCGCCTTATTTTCCTCGTGCCGCCCTCCTCCTGCTCTTCCTCCTCATTGCCCTCGTGCCTCCCTCCTCTGTCTCTTCTCTTCTCTTCCTCCTCCTCCTCCTCCTTCAACTCCTCCTCCTCCTCTTTTTCCTCCTCCTCGTATTCCCCCTCATCCTCCTTCTCCTTGTTTCCTCCTCCTCCTCCTTCTCATGTTCCTCGTGCCGCCCTCATCCTTCTCTTCTCCTTCTCCTCCTCCTCCAACTTCAACTCCTCCTCCTCCTCCTCCTTCAACTCCTCTCCTCCTCCTCCTCCTCCTTCAACTCCTCCTCCTCCTCCTCCTCCTCCTCCTCTTCACCCTCATCCTCCTTCTCTGTTTCCTCCTCCTCCTCCGCCTATTCCTCCTTATCCTCCTTCTCCTCCTCCTCCTCCTCCTCATCCTCCACCTTCTAACCCCCAGATGGTCCCATGAGGTCGAGCGTGGCTCAAGATAGCCTTCGACAGACCTCCAAGAGGCCTCAAGACAGCAACAAGATGGCCCAAGATAGCTGAGCATGGTTCAGGATAGTCTCCGACAGTCTCTAGCCGAGCATGGCTCAAGATAGCCTCCAGGAGGCCTCAAGAAAACCTCCGATCGTGTCTGGATGGGCTGGTGTGGCTACGCAATTCCTCCGGAGCGTCAAGAATTCGAACAAAAGTCCGTTGCCGATCGCACCTATTACGCGACAAGAATTCTGGATATACAATGGCACGGTATCGCCAACAAGTCCAGACGCATGTGCTTTGTGGACGATGACTGCTCCTGTGGCGCAGCTCGTGAAGGCAACATAAGGCTGGACGTCGCGTATGATCTTGGTTCGCCGCGGAGATGAACACTTATGTAAACCCAACGACTGGATTGCAAGGGGCATTGGATTCGGATCTGAATCTTGGATGGGCTGGGTTCAAAGCACTACACACAACGTAGGACACGCTCACAAGTTTGGGCTGTGTTACAGACCGTGCTTAATGGAAGCATGCCTAGGCAGGCATGCAAAGTTTGCCAGTGGGATCCCAGCTCTGCCAACTGGCAACGCCACGCCCACACGGACCAAGACAACGCTGGACTGACGACCTCTGAGAGGCTGCGGTCCCGACGCCGCCCTCCCTAGGGGGGCGCCCTGGGCGCTGGCGAGGCGCGGCGTCGGCGCTTGCCTCGCCTCGCTCCACCTCCTCTCTTCTTCCCTCCTCCCTCGGAGGAGGGGGGGGGAGCGGCGAGGGGGTGAGGGGAAAGGGGGGGAGGGGACATGGACGATCACAACAAGTGGGCGATCACAGCAAGGCTCTTGACGCCTGCAGCCCCTGGCGAAGGACTCCTGGTACATGTGGTCCTGGAGGCAGTTGAGCTTCTCGCCCCAGACCAGGCCGGGGCAGAACTTGTCCGCGGTGTACTTGCAGACCTGTCCGGTCTTCGGCCTCAGGACGAACGCGTCCATCTCCACCTGAGCGACGATCAAAAACGGGCCTTACGCGAGATGACATAGCGACCTTACGCAGTGGCTTACGCGGGCCGCCAGCGCGGCGCACTACATCGGAGACGAGGGAAACTTACGCGCGAGCTTACGCGGGGAGCTTACTCGCCAATGCCCGCACGAACCCGTTTTTTTCTTTCGTCGCTCGCCTTGCTCTGCCGCATCTCCGCCGCACGGCACTCCTTCGGGGGCGGCCAAGAGGGGGGCGTCCAAGAGGGGGGGTGCAAATCATGGCCGGCGGCATGTGCACGGCCCAAAGGGGGGGCACAGACGGAATGAAACAAGGAGAGGCGCCATGCAATCCGGGGAAATATCATGGCCCACGCCATGATCTCCACCCCCTCCTAGTCAACACACCCTCTTTGCCGCCCCCGACTCCTTCCCCAGGTCCTGGAAGTGGCTCCGCAGGCACGTGTGCTGGTCGCCCGGGGCCACGTCCTTGCAGAGGTCGCGGAGCTCGGCCTGGCAGCCGGAGCGGATCTGCGGGGCGAGGTCCGCCCGCTGGGCCTGGATCCGCACCACGCGGGAGATCTCCTCTGGGCGAGGGGGGCGCAGGAGCACCTCGACACGCCAAGCCCGCCGAGAGGGGGGAGGGGCAAAGGGGGAGAGGGCAAGCCAGGTGCCCTCCACGCCAGGTCTGACATCCCACCCCTCCCACCCATCCCTGCCGGTGGCGCCGGTTCTTCCTCCTTCCTCCATCCGCTGGCGCGTCTCGTAGCGGACCTGGAACTCCAAGAAGGACCCCATCGTGTTATGCGCAGTCGGAATAAGGGGTGCTGCGTAAACTGGAGGAGGCGAACAGCAGCAGCAGAAGCTGGAGTAGAAAGAGCGGGAGGAGCAGGAGGACCAGGGGAGGGCGGAGGAGGGGAAAGGAGAGGGGCGACAGCCATGAGGAAAGACTCGGGCCCACCGTAGTGGATCGAGCGGGGGCGAGAGCGCCACTCCGAACTTAGAGGAAAAAGAAGTATGCACATGCACCGATTCTGGCCAGGCCCATCCTGAGCCCAGGATCGGTGCATACGCCCTCCTACCTTGGCCAGGAAGGCATATGCACCGATCCTGGGTCAAAAATGGGCCTTGCCAGGATCGGTGCATGTGCATAGTTCTCTTCGCCCGAGAACTGGGAGTAGAGCGCCGATCCTAAAACGAGGCCAAGGCTACAGCGGCAGCACCACTCTGGAGGACCGAAGACGACCAGAGCGGAAAGCAACAGCACAAGATACGAATTGCTGAGATCCTCTGTGCTCCACTGCAATAGAATAGAAGAGAGCGGTGCACTCCCCGACCATCTTGGAGTGGAAAGGCAGATCGAGTAGATTGGACCCAGGCCCCCCTGATAATGACACAACGTAGCAAAAACACATCCATGCTTAAAGCAGGAAGGCGCTTGAAGCAGATTGGGATCTGATAGTAGAGTACCCACTTTCAACGACCGACGTGTACTCATATAGAGTAGTTGCCGAGGGCGCAACTGAGCGCGCGTGATCGCACTTACGGAGCTGCGGAGCACGCCATGGCACCCCCACAGAAGGCGCGCTGCGAGGGCACACACCCTCAGGGCGCCGTGCGCGGCACGCGGCAGCCGGCGCTGCCCGAGGCTTTTCTGCACGCTTCGCGCGCACGTAATGGGGGAACGAGGCTTGTCGATTCCCCCCGCCCTCTCTTTGGGCTTCGCGGAGAAAGTGACCGTTGCTAGCCCTCCGGACTGGAACCAAATGTGCTGCGTCAGAGTCTCAATGACAGCAATGGCCATCCCACCTGCCTGCCCCTAGCTCCTCCTACGCTCGGGCTGACTAGTCTTGCCAGCTGGCCCGAAAGAATTGCCAAGTGTCTATACCGAGAAATCCTGACGCACGGCGCTTGCCTCATGGCCTGCTGCAGGATGCTGCTGTGAGGTTTGGAAAGCAGGAATCCCCGGAGGGCCTTCTCGGCAACGCCCTGGAGCTCTGGAGTAAACCGAAGCTTCAACCACAACGTTTGCGAGGGCTGAGTTGGCTTCTCCCTGCGGACGCGTGGGCCCGCGAACCATTCCAGGGGAGGTAAAACTGCATCGACATGTTGCGCTAGGAATGCATGGGATCATCGCTGGCTGTATTCAGCGTAGCACTGTTGGAAAAATGATGAGCCTGAGCGCTATGGGCCACGCCTTGTGCTATGCATTGGGTGCGCGCTGTGTCTGCCGAGGGGTATAACCAGGGGGGTCGGTTTGAACCTTGCGCGGGCTCCTATGCGACCACCGAGTTTGGAGATAGAAAAATCCAGCCATGCGACCTCATCAGCCAAAAAGCCTTCCAGCTGAAGTCGGAAGTTTCCAGCCCTATGCAAAAATAGAATCCCCGATGCTAGCCAGGATGCCGCCTTTAAATCTAAGATACCGTTGTATCCTGTAGGCGCTCAGCTACCTGACAGCCCATCGCTCCACATGGCTTAAGAGCACAAGGTCTGCTACCTCCCCCGAGTGAGGAAGACCCATCCCTGACACACGTATCACTATGTACGACCGGCTGGGAAGGGAACTGAAGAACTTCACATCGGAGAAAAACCCTTGTCGGTGGATGGCCCGAAAGTCTTGCAAGCACCATGCCCGGCCGAAGTTTCGCAAGAGGACCCTAAGAAGCGAACTCATTGATTACACTTGCGCGTTGGAATGGTGATGGTATCCTCGCCATCTCGGGAATCCGTCGGCTCAACATGGCCCAGGAGGTCCACAAGATTGCCCCAGGACGGAGCACAAGGGGCCGTAGATGACCCAGGCGGGCCTCCAGAGGTACCCGAAAGAATGAGACAGGTATAAAGAAATACTGCGAGAGAGAAAGAGAAAGAGAAAGAGAGAGAGAGAGAGAGAGAAAGAGAGAGAGAGAGAGAGAGAGAGAAAGAGAAAGAGAGAGGCAGAGAGAGAGGGGAATGCTATAGATATATTGCATAACGCGGAGGCAAAAACTATCCTGGCGAAGGACCCAACCATATGCAGTTGTGAGTATCGCAATTGTGAGTATCTTCTTCGGTGGCGCTCCCTATGGGGCGACGAACCGCATGAGGGGCGTGCCGAAATGTGGCGGGGTACACAACGCAAAGGAATACGATAGATCTGATTACGAGAGAAAGAACGCGGGTGAGTCAGAGCGCGAGGGAATCTGAGTATGAATGGGTCTGCGCGCGAGTGAATATATTTGCGTGAATGCGATCATGGAACCGCCCAGTGTAAGTGTCGAGCGCTGGTCGCCCCGAGAGGGTCCCAGCGACGCGCGCGGGTCGTCCGCGGCGCGAGGCCAAACAATTAGTCGGGCAGTCGAGAGAAGGCGCGGCTCGGGGGAGACGCTCCTCAGGTCAGGCCTCGCGGATGAACTCGGTGAAGCCGAGCTCCCTGGCGAGGGCCGTCGCTTCCCTCCTGCACCGCTTCGTGCGCGCCGCAAACTGCTCCAGCTGCTTCCGCAAGCCCTGCGGCGGCCCTGCCAGGAAGAACTCGATGCGCGGCGCCCGCATGAGCAGGAGGTCCTCGTGGCGCGTGGCGCGCGAGAGCAGCACGTAGAGCTCCAGCCACCAGTCGTCGTCCTCCTTCTTGCCGTTCCCTACCTCGTGGCGGCCGCAATCCAGGATCACGCCTGGGCGACGTCGACCGAGGGAGCAGCGCGCCGGGCAGCCGACGGCCCAGGGCGAGAGTCCACAGGACCGAGAGATGGTCTGGCCGCGGACTGCTCGCGCCCCGGAGGTCTGGCCGCCCCCGGAGCGCCGTTCCCCCGCCCCGTCGCCTTCGCGCATGGTGCGCCCCTGGCACGCCACCGTGGTGATGACCCTGCCGTGCGAGAAATGCGGGGGGTGTGCCGAAATGGGTGGGGGTGACGCATGCGGGCGGCGGCACTGAGGCCTTCGGTGGAGCTCCCTATGGAGCCACGAAACGTGTGAGGGGTGTGCCGAAATGGGTGTGGGTGACGCATGCGGCCGCGGGCACTGGGGCCTTCGGTGGAGCTCCCTATGGAGCCACGAAACGTGTGAGGGGTGTGCCGAAATGGGTGTGGGGGACGCATGCGGCCGCGGGCACTGGGGCCTTCGGTGGAGCTCCCTATGGAGCCACGAAACGTGTGAGGGGTGTGCCGAAATGGGTGTGGGGGACGCATGCGGCCGCGGGCACTGGGGCCTTCGGTGGAGCTCCCTATGGAGCCACGAAACGTGTGAGGGGTGTGCCGAAATGGGTGTGGGGGACGCATGCGGCCGCGGGCACTGGGGCCTTCGGTGGAGCTCCCTATGGAGCCACGAAACGTGTGAGGGGTGTGCCGAATGGGTGTGGGGGACGCATGCGGCCGCGGGGGCCTTCGGTGGAGCTCCCTATGGAGCCACGAAACGTGTGAGGGGTGTGCTGGGTGTGTGGAGCTCCCTATGGATGTGAGGGGTGTGCCGAAATGGGTGTGGGGGACGCATGCGGCACTGGGGCAGCTCCCTATGGAGCCACGAAGCGTGTGAGGGGTGTGCCGAAATGGGTGTGGGGGACGCATGCGGCCGCGGGCACTGGGGCCTTCGGTGGAGCTCCCTATGGAGCCACGAAACGTGTGAGGGGTGTGCCGAAATGGGTGTGGGGGACGCATGCGGCCGCGGGCACTGGGGCCTTCGGTGGAGCTCCCTATGGAGCCACGAAACGTGTGAGGGGTGTGCCGAAATGGGTGTGGGGGACGCATGCGGCCGCGGGCACTGGGGCCTTCGGTGGAGCTCCCTATGGAGCCACGAAACGTGTGAGGGGTGTGCCGAAATGGGTGTGGGGGACGCATGCGGCCGCGGGCACTGGGGCCTTCGGTGGAGCTCCCTATGGAGCCACGAAACGTGTGAGGGGTGTGCCGAAATGGGTGTGGGGGACGCATGCGGCCGCGGGCACTGGGGCCTTCGGTGGAGCTCCCTATGGAGCCACGAAACGTGTGAGGGGTGTGCCGAAATGGGTGTGGGGGACGCATGCGGCCGCGGGCACTGGGGCCTTCGGTGGAGCTCCCTATGGAGCCACGAAACGTGTGAGGGGTGTGCCGAAATGGGTGTGGGGGACGCATGCGGCCGCGGGCACTGGGGCCTTCGGTGGAGCTCCCTATGGAGCCACGAAACGTGTGAGGGGTGTGCCGAAATGGGTGTGGGGGACGCATGCGGCCGCGGGCACTGGGGCCTTCGGTGGAGCTCCCTATGGAGCCACGAAACGTGTGAGGGGTGTGCCGAAATGGGTGTTGATGATGATGATGATGGGAGGGGGGAGGAGGCAGCGGGAGGAAGGAAGGAAGGAAGGAAGGAAGGAGAACGCGGGGCACCGTCTCTTCAAAACGAGGACCCAACACCACAGGATGGTTGGGAACAACCTCACATAACGATTGGATCATACAATGCGCATCAAAGAGTGAAAGAGATATAGAAGTCTACCACGGGAGAAAGGAAGAGAGGGAGAGAGAGGGGAATGAGAGAGATATTGGAACGCACTGACAAAAAACATCAGACATAACGATTGGATATTGCATTGCGCGTCGGCGAAGCACGAACGAGTGATACTGATATAGAAAGATACCGAGAGAGAGAGAGAGAGAGAGAGGGAGAGAGAACAAAAGAGAGAGAGAGAAGGAAGGAGCGCCCACCGACAGCACTGATGGAGATACCGAGAGAGAGAGAGAGAGAGAGAAAAAAAAAGCAAAAAAAAAAAAAGAGAGAGAGAGAGAGAGGGGGGCACCCACCGAGAGCCGCCCACCGAAATCGGCCGGCTACGTTCGCCAATCTCTGGAGGGGCACCACCGAAAGCAGTCCACCAAGAACCGCTCGCCTGAAACCGGCCCGCTACTTTCGCCAATCTCTTCTATGTCCGCTAGGACCCCTTCAGTGCAAACAGTGATTGGGCAATTGACTGGTGCTGCAGCAGGAAGCACAACGCCCTAGATAGTAAGTGTTTCAAAGGTCCAGAAAACTGCGTCCTACATCGTCGACGAGGCTGTCACAACCCCCTGACATGAAAATGATTCCACATCTGGTTTCGCCAGCTTGTCTTTGACAGGCATGGGCGTGTTCATCAATCGTCGGACAATTTCTTGGGAGCCCTTCACTACATGCGGAAGTTCCTTGACCTTGGACTTCAATGCGCGTGCCAATGTGAGAGCTGAGCGAAGCAATACCTGTTAGCCGCATGTGCACTTCTGAATGTGACGGCTTCTGGGTGCTTATGTGATTTGCACGTCTTGATAAGCCGAACTTTGGACGTATGTCCTGGGAAACTCAAAGACCTCACAATATCTCGAGCTATATGGCATTCCACAAAAGTTTCGACATCCTTGGCCAGCTTGTGAGATTCCTGCGCTACTGGATTGAAGCTTAGTGGTTCAAGGGTGCATTCCTCATATTCGGTTCCCTCCAAGATCTGCTCATCAACATGTCGGTTACTACGTTGGGGCACGAGGGTATACCCGACGTCTTTGCCGCTCTTGACTGGTATGAAGCCGGGAAGCTGCAACCAACCAAATGCGTTTGACTGACAAAACATGCTACCATGCTGGCGATGCCGACTCCTCCGAATCTGTTGTTCGCACGCTCTGGAGACAACGCGGCGAAGAGAATCCAGCCAACATGCTCCCTCTGCTGCGGCTACTCCTGGTCATGCTGGGGCCTTCCACCCTTCCATTTGGTAGTCCTGCCGCTTATGGCTTGGAAGGTTCCTCAATAATTTCCAATGTTATCCCGCTTGAATTACAAATGTGTTTCATGCCGTTACTGATGCCATAAAGCTTGGGAAGGGTGCCACAAGCCATGGAAGGTCCGTCGGAACAAATATCGACTGGTCCGCATGTTCGTACACGTAGACCGTGTCAGCCCGCCTCTCGAACATCACCAGCAAGATCCATGCTTCCAGCGATGCTCCGTCCATGTGCCTTGCCAACCATGTGCCTTTCATCTCTGTTGTTGAGATTGCCTGCGCCTTTACCTGAGGGGTTGGCCGCAGCTCTCTAACCTTTTGCGTCTCCTTTCGCTTCGCATTGGCCTCGCTTCCCCTTACCATGTGTTTGCCCCCTGTTTGCTACCGTTGTTTGCACCAGTGTTTATCCCTTGTCCGTAGGTGTTCCCTTTGTTCTTGCCTTTTTGGTTGTACCCTTGCCTTTGTCATCTTTGGTTGTACGCTTGCTCTTGCCCTTGCCCGAGCCATTGGCTTCGCCCTTGCTTTTTGCACCCTGGGTCCTCTCAGGGGTCGAGCCGTTTTTGCCACCGCGTGGGCAACCTCTGCGATCGTGGTCCCAGCCTGCCCGTGATCATCGAGCATGTCGTCGATGATCAGGCCATGCTCCTCGAGCTTTTTACATACGGCAGCGTTGACAACTGCCGCAAAGGAGTACTCTGGGCTTGGACTTGAAAGCCATGCCGCCTTTTGTGTGTTGTTTTTTCTAGTTCTTCCCGATATCCCTCAGCCGCCTCTCGTTCTTCGAAGCCTCCGCGTTCATAGCTTTGGCCAAGAGCGTCTCCAGCTTTTCCAAGGCTACTGCTGGGTTCACCGGCGATATACCGATGGCGGCGACGCCCAGTCCAGTGGCCTTGTCTTCCGTAAGGGAGTTGATGGTCTTTGAGCCTTCATCTAGAAAAGCCTGCTTCATCGCCGAGCTCCTGGTGGTGACCTGCTGCTCGCGGAGGGCCTCGAGTAAGACCTGCATGTGGAAAACCGTCATCTCGTGGGACGTCCCCTTCTCGAGCGGAATCGTCAGGCTGCATGGTCCGTCCACGCAGGCCGCCATCACTGAGTCGAGTCCCACTTGGCCCTCACTGGACTTGAAGGCCCTGCATCTGCTGGGGTATGTCCTTTGGCTCTTAGTCGGTAGAACCTTGGCGTCCCTCTCGCACTTCTCTAGTGGAACTCTGTTGCGCGATACCCTGCTCAGGATTTGACACATTCGTGAACGTGTTTCTCCAGCTTTTTGTTGACGTCATCTGGAATCTGTAGTGCCCTCCTGAGCAGGAAAGGCCAGGGGCCCCATAAGGCCCCCGATCCTCCCCCGCAGCCTCCCGCGGAGGAGGCCCGGTCTCCTTGTGGCACTCGGGCTTGAGGCTCCTGAGGTTCTTTTCCAGGCACTGGATGACCGGGCCGACCTCGCTGTCTGGGCCGATGGCCTTGCCGATCGGCAGCTTGTCCACCTGCGCGCGCGCGGCCACCGCCCTTGCCGGCACCAACGCCGCCGGCCCTCTGGCCCAGCCAGCGGAGACGGCCGAGCGGGCGAGGGGGGCGGGGGGAAGTGGAAGCCCTCGAAAATCCACGCTTTTGCATGCCTGGGGGCCTCTCCTGAAGGTCTTCAAAGCAAGGCTCGAGCAGATGGGGTCGGAGCATCGCGCCGCATCCTCGATATATCACCGATGCCTCGGCGACGTCGGCGTGCGTAAAATCGGCCTCCACGTCGAGCCGCATCGCCGACGCATCGGCGATGCGGAGCGAACTTCCGACCCTATCCACTCGGACTCCAGACCCTTACATGATGTTAGAAACGCTGAGGGCGTTTTTCTGTTTTCAAGTCAGGTGTTTTTCCGTTTGAGGGTTCTCGTTCGTGCCGTTCTCGGTTCAGTTCCAAGTTGAACTGCACTTTGATATGCTGCTGGCTGCCACTTTTGTGGTCCGATGCGGCTGGCCACAAACCGAACACTTGAAGACACGCAAAACGCCCCCAGCGCTTCTAACATCAGCTGCGCCCGCACCCCCTTCGGGAGGCCCGGACGTGTGGGGGGGGTCTCCGGAGGTCTCCTGAGGCCTTCGCGGGGACCTCATGGGCAGGCCGGACGAAGGAGGGGTTAGTTGAGCAGGGACCGACCGTCCCGGCATTCACATAGTCCTACCACGAGATGTTCTTAGAACCCACAAATGTTCGAATAACAAAAACAATGTTCTTAGGACATACGCCCGATGTGCTAAAACAAGACAGCCTCCGCCAGACATGTTCTAAGAACATCTCGTGGGAACCACAAACAGGTTTTCAGAACATTGCTTGGTAGGGCTATAGGCGAGCCAGGACGCTTCGCCACTGCTTGAGTTAGTGGGGGAGCGGTGTTTTGCGAACCAGCTCACGCGGCCGGCGGGCGCCCAACGTGTCGAGGAGGGCGCCCCGCGGCGGGGCCGACACCGGCTGCCTGCTGCGGGACCCCCGGCGCCACGAGCTCTTCCCGACGTCGACCCCATCAAGCTCTCGACCCCCCCTGGGACAGGCTTTTCATCTTGAGTCGTTTTGTTCTAGCGGCGCCCAGGAACACACAAATGAATCCCCGGATTCCCCGTGTCTGTCCATGTTGTCTAGGTTTTCGTCGTCCCCCCCATTTCCCATCTCTTTTCCCCGATCTCCCTGGGGATCGACGATCACTTGTGTCTGCGTGATTTTTCCCCTCTCGATGTGGACGCACCCAGGGCCGGGCAAGGGCCCCAAGGCTCCTCACGACGCGCTGCACGACGCGAGAGGGCCTGTGGACACAGGCCGAGCGCGATCATGGGAGACCTCCGCCTTGATTTGTCGGGAGACGCCGGGTGCCTGGGGAGGGGGGGGGGCTTCGTAAACGGGGGTTTTGCTAAACGGGGGCTTCAGGCTTTTACATATACCCCCGTTTACTGTACCCCCGTCTACGGCGCCCAGGGCCCCTAAACGAGGGCATGGCCGAACGTGGAAACCGGCGTTCCCCGAACCCCCGTTTGCTGTGCCCCCGTCTCTGGCGCCCTGAGGGAGGGGGCTCCCCTCCGCGCCGGGATCTCGGAGCCCCCCCCCGCCGCCGCGCCTCGCGCCTGGGAGGGGTCGCCTGCAGATCTGAGGCTGCAAGAAGAAAAAACATACAACATCATCGCTGGAGGGGAGGAGGATGAAGCGGAGGAGGGTGTACCGATGAGGATCCATGTGCCCGCCAGGCGGCGGGGGGAGGAGGGAAGGGCGAGGAGGAGGGCCGAGGAGGATCCAGAGGAGGACGCATCGATGAGGACCGAAGATCGAGGAGGGGGGAGGATCGAGGGCACAGGGCCGAGGAGGATCCAGAGCAGAGGAGACACACATGTGGACGAGGACCGAGGTCCGAGGAGGAGGAGGGGGAGCATCGAGTGCCCATGGCCCACCCTGAGACCCGAAGCTGCGAACGAATAAAGCACAGCTTCGCACGGGGACCCCCGGTGGTGATCACCACCAGCGAAGCCACACACACACACAATGTCCGCGGAAAATGCACGCCGAGAAACACAATTGCAGCTTCGCGAGAAATGCGCGCCGAGAACAAGCACAGCCTCGCGAAGCAGAGCTTGCTGCCTCTCATTGCTCCCGGGCCAGGTCGAGCCGGGAGGGCCCCAGGGGGCCCGAAGCCCGCGCGAAAAGAAGGCAGCGCCAGGAGGAAGGAGGTCTGCCCCTCCCCCCGAGGTGCGATGTCGTGATTTTCGGGGCCCCGTAGACCCGGACACGCTAGACCCGGACAACCAACATCCCTCGAAACCTCTTTGTCCTGACGGCGGCACGAACAAAATACTGCACTGCAGCACCTCCAGAGTAAGCCAGGACACAGGCCCCAAAAGCCTGCAAGACCCCCCCAAACCCGGACACAAACCCGAATCCTGCAGCGCAGCGAACAAAGAATGCACGGGTGCTGAAAAATGTGACTTTTCAGGAAAGGGTGTCGTTTCCTTGGTTTTCCCTGTCCTGGTTTATCTGTGTCCTGGCCTCCGGGGGCCTGAGATTTTTCCATGCGGGGCCCCTGGAAGGCTCGACCCGTTCCCCAGGACCGGCTTTTCAGCCCGAGTCGTTTTTTGACGGTCCCTGGGCCCGGCGAGGGCCTCCAGAGGCCGAAAACTGGGGAAAACCCCTCCGTCTTGATTCTTCCTAGGTATGCATTCGATCTCTGGGCCCGCCGGGGTCTCCCGCGCGCCGCCGGGGCCAGCGGCCGGGGCGCCTCCCTCGCCAGGGCGGGGTATGGTATAGCCCCGTGGGGCCGGGCGGCGGCAGGGGCCGCGTGGGCCCAGGAGAGCCAGCGGCACTCGGCACCTCCGGTGCCGGGGGGGCCCTGGGCACCAATAGGCTCGGGTGTGGCCGGGAGTGCCCCCACGGCCCGAGGTGCCCCCCAGGAGTTCCAGGGAGGCCCCCATGGGCCTCCAGAGCACCCCCCTCGCGAGGCCCCGAGGGCCCCACCAAGGGCTCCAAGAGGGAGCGGAGAGCTGGGGGCGCCTTGGGCCAGGGGCACCTCCAGCGACCCCCGACGAGGCCCCCAAATGAAGTGTTCTGAGCACGTGAAGCGGCTGGGGAATCCACACCTCCCGCGTGCCCCGAGAAGAGGGCCTCCCGGGGGGCGTCCTGGGGTCCTCGCGGTCCAGCTTTGAAACCATTCGGGGGCGGCCCGCGGCCCAAGGGGCCAATGATTCCCCGCACACTCGCTCTGTGGTCGCAAGAGCTCGAATGCTCTAAGCTTAGGTCGGGCACGTCCCCCTACAGGCGGATTCTGGGCGAACATGTTTTCGAAATGCCTAAGAAACTACCCGCAAATAGTCAAATCGAATGCTAAAAATAGAGTCCCCAGACTATGTGTCACTATTTTTGGAGATTCCTCCTGTAGAGGGACAGGCCCGACTTCACTCTACGCACACGAACACAATATTCTTGGAGCATAAAGCCGACTTGCCAAGAAAAGACGGCACCGGCCAGAAGCGTTCTGAGAACATCTTGTGCAGACAACAAAGTGGAGCTTAGAGCATTCTCTGCAGGGCTGAACCTAAACGGTGTTGTTCGTTTCCGTTTTGCTTTCGTTCTCCCTCGTTTTGTCTTCAATTCGCCTTTGCCGCAAAACGAAGTCGAAACGAAAACGGCCCACGAAATCGCCAAAACACCGTTTAGGTCCAGCCCTGATTCTCTGGTGGGCCTACCCTCAGATCTGCCGCTGCCAAGAAATGCACCATCGTGAACAAGCACCACAGGAGCTCCAGACCCAATCTTTCTGCGTCAGTTTCGAGACGGGTCGATCTGTGAGGGCCCAGGGGTCCGAAACCAAGCGAAAACACCCGTTGTGACCAGATCGACGCCATGATCTCGGGTGGCTGGGGGCGGCGAGTTCGACGAGACGGCGGCGGCCCGCACCTTCTCCTTCTCCGCTGAGCAGTGCTCCTGAACGTCCGCCACGCACTTGGTGCGCACCCCGAAGTCGAGCTTGTAGTGGCTCACCTGCCTGCCGACCATCTGGAGAACCTTCCGGACACCCCCACCCGGGTCCCGCATACCAGCGCAGCTCTCCTCTGTTAATTGGCGGCGCGCCCATGGGGGAAACGAGAGGAGGCGGGTCTTCTCAGAAGGCTTGGAAGTCTCCCGGCCTTCTGAGAAGTTTTCTAAGCCTTCCCCGAAGACGCAGGAAACCTCTCAGAAGGCCAGAGGGCTCCTGAGGAGTCCCGCCGCCTTCTGAGAGGGCCTTCTCCTTCTCACTTCCCCCCCTCGCTCGCCGCCGAGTTGACCTGCCCTGCCCCCTCTTCAATCTCCAGGGACGGAGGGCGGGGGTGGACGACTGGAGACGAATTGTTGCACAAGGCGGGGATCTCCGAACCTTTGCCGAGCACGCTTCGTACGTGCCGGTCTCGTCCTCGTCCGCCACGACTTTGTTCCAGAGGCACTCGAGCATCCTCGCCTCGCCGAACGGGACGTCCTTGCACACTGTCGTGATTGCCTCCTGGCAGTCGTTCAATGCATCTGGGCTGAGCCTGATGTCGTCCGACTCCTCTACTTCCTTCTTAAACAGAGCCTCTTTGCACCTGTCCGTGAGACTTTCACGATACTTGGGCGCTGCTAGACAGGCCTTGCGCAAGCGGGCGGGAACCTTGGTACACGGCTCGATGTTCTGCAAGTCTGCCTGACAAGCCTCGTAGAAAAACTTGTCGAGCTGCATATCCTCCGCCTGCAGCTCCTGGACCTCGAAGACCTTGGTCGAACACGGCGCGGACAACTCGGCTTTGTGCTCCTTGAGGCATGCCGTGAGATTTGGTCCGCGCGCCTGGGCGTTTGAAGACAAGAGTACGCAACCAGACGTGCAACGAGCGCGGACTTCCTCCACCTCCTCCTCCTCCTCCTCCGGCTCCTCCTCCTGCTCCTCCGCCTCCTCCTCCTCCTCCTCCTCCTCCTCCCCCTCCTCCTCCAATCCCTGCTGTCCAGGGGTTGTCTCATGCTCTCCCCTCTCCCAGCCTATAGACCCGCCCCGCGTGGGGCGTGTCAGCGAAGCGCTGGCCGCCGTTCCGCCGCTCCCGAGGGCCCCCTCACTAACGTTTCCGCTTTTTTCGGGCATCTCGGGAGTAAGAGCACTCCAAGAGGATGAGATCAGGCGGCAAGAGCCGAGGCTCAGAGCATGCAGTGAGATCTTCGTGACAAGTGAAGCTCGAATGGGGGAGACGGACACCACGACTCATCCTCCCCATCCTCATCCAACTCGGTGCTCCGTGCTACGGGCAAGAGTTGCACCACAACGCTACCCTGCTCCCACTCCCCCACCCAACCACATCCCACCCCACCCAGCGGCGGCCTGCTCCGCTGGCGGGGGGGGGGGGGGCAAAGAAAGTAGGTCGCGCCCTGGCGGAGCGGGGGGGGAGGGGGATGAAAGAACGGCAGCACGGCGACATCACAGGGAGGCCTGCGACAGAAGCACGAACCCCGTCCTCCCCTCCCTCCTCCTCCCCCTCCCCCTCCTCCTCCTCCTCCTCCTCCTCCTCCTCCTCCTCCAACCGCCCCTCGGCCGACGGAGAGGAGAAGAGACGGCATCCCCATCGTCCGATGGCGGGCCCGAAGTCGGCGACCACCGGGCGGGGAGAGGCGGAGGGGCGGCGCTCGGCACAGGGCCACGGCGCCAGGGGGGGTCTGCGCTGGGGGCGCAAGATGTGAGAACGGGTCCCATGCACCGTACCTTGATGATGATAGTAATGATAGCGATGATGATGATGATGATGATGATGATGATGATGATGATGATGATGATGATGATGATGATGGCGACGGCGACGATGATGATGATGATGATGATGATGCTGGTGATGATGATGATGATGATGATGATGATGATGATAGTGATGATAATGAGGATGATGATGATGATGATGATGGCGACGACGACGATGATGATGATGATGATAGTAATGATAATGATGATGATGATGATGATAGTGATGATAATGATGATGATGATGATGATGATGATGATGGCGACGACGACGATGATGATGATGATGATGATGATGCTGGTGATGATGATGATGATGATAGTGATGATAATGAGGATGATGATGAGGATGATGATGATGATAGTGATGATAGTGATGATGATGGTTGTGGTGGTGGCGATGATGGTGGTGATGGTGGTGATGATGATGGTGGTGGTGATAACGATGACGATGATGATGATGATGATGCTGATGATGGTGATGATGATGATCATCATGCTGATGATGGCGTTGATGACCATAATGAATGATGTCTAGTGTATGTTGATGATACTGAAGATGATGATAGCGGCGATGATGATGGCTATGATGATGATGATGATGCTGATGATAATGATGGCTATGATGATGGTGGTACTTGTGATGCTGGTTATGATGGTGATGCCGATGATGATCCCGTGAAAATGATAATAATAGTGGTAAGGATGGCGATGATGATGATGACCCTGCTGCTGATGCAGATGACGATGATGATGAGGGTCCTAATGACAATCATGATAATCATCAGTATCCTCGTGATCATGATCATTACCATGGTCAGAATCATCGTCCTCCTTCTCAACATCATCACCACCACCATCATCCTGATCAATATCCTCATCATCATCGCCATCGTCATCTGCATCATCATCATCATCAGCAGCAGCATCATCATTATCATCATCATCAGCAACATCATCATCATCGTCGTAATCTCCCACTCCTCAGGTTCATCTTACTCCCCCTGGGAATCACAACGATGGAATATAGACGCCTATAGGCAGACACACGTGAACTTTACCCCTGCTGGTCGAACTCTTGGAAGGCCCAGGACACCCGTAGTGGCCCGGAAACTGCGAGCGGGCACGGGCGAGGCGGACCCCCACAGAGCAAACCACCGTCGGCCGAGATCGGTGGGCGGTGCGGGCCAAGGCCGAACTTCCCAAGCGAGCACAGCCAGCGGTGCCAAGCACCTTTCCACCGTTGGAGGCCTCTACACGGGGCCAGAATAGATGGGTCGGAGGAACGCGCAGCCTTGCCGATGCATCGGCTGCATATGGAAAAAAACGGGAGTCAGATGGCGCCGCATCGCCGAGGGATCGGCGATGCGGTGCTATCCTCCGACCCCATCCGCTCTGGCCCCCTTAAGGAGGCCTGGAGCCATGCCCAGGGCGCCTTGACACAGAAGCTCTTGATGTCCTCCGAGCAGGCCTTTCGCAGCCCCTTCACCGGCTCCACCCAGAAGGGGAAGCCGCCCTTCGTCGGGGACTCGTGGCCCATCACCTTGACGAAGAAGTGTCTGACCTCACGGAGAGCGGGACGGGGCGCACATCCCCACTGGCTGCGGCCCCACCTCTCCCCCCTCAATGGACCCTCCCCGCCCCCCTTCTCTTCTTGGCATCCCGCAGCCCCGCCCCGCCTTGCCCCCTCAGCGCGCTTGCCCCGCCCCCCCCCCTCAACACGCCCTCCCCGCCGCCTCCCTCCCCTTCCCGCCCATTCCTTCCTCCCCAAGCTGGGGCCGCCTGAATCCCGCCAGCCCTCTGGGCGCAGGTGGTTCAGGCAGTTTCCTCTTCCTCCCCCATTCTTCCCCTTCGGGGAAGGGTTTACCCCTCCCCCCTACCCTCTCCCCTGGACCTGGACGGGCGGTGCCTCGGCCTCGGCGAGGAAGCCAAAGTCATTGGTTCTACTCAGGTTTCAGCCCCAGTTGGGCCTCTTGGGGGGGGGCGCTAATTGGAGCTCCACTCCAGTTTGACCGATGGCATCCGAGATGGCCGAAAGAGCGCCCCTGAAGCTCCCAAGAGCGCCCCAAGAGGACCCCAAGAGGCGCCCAGACGGCTCCAAGAGGCCCCCAAGAGGCTCCCAAGAGACCCCCAAGAGGCCCCAAAAGCCTTCAAGAGGATCCCCGAGGCACCCAAGATGCCCCCCAGACGCTCCAAGAGGCCCCCCCGAGGCACCCAAGACGCCCAAGAGCCCCCCAGGACCGCCAAGAGACCCCTGAGACGTCTCAAGACTCAAGAGGCCCCCAAGAAGCGCCCAAGCAATATCCCAAGAGGCTCCGAGAGGCATCCAAGAGACTTTTGCTCGTCCTCGTCCTCCTCCTGCTCATCCTTCCTTCTCCTCCTCCTCCTCCTCCTCCTCCTCCTCCTCATCATCATCATCATCATCATCATCACCATCACCATGAGAAGTAGCATCAACATCCTCATCATCCTCATCATCCTCATCATCCTCATCATCATCATCATCAGCAGCATCAGCATCATCATCATCATCCATCATCCGCACCAGCATCAGCATCAGCATCAGCATCATCAGCATCAGCATCAGCATCAACATCAGCATCATCATCACCATCATCATCATCCTCATCATCATCATCATCATCATCATCAGCATCAGCATCAGCATCAGCATCAGCATCAACATCATCATCATCATCATCATAATCAGCATCATCATCAGCATCGTCATCATCATCATCATCATCGTCATCATCATCATCATCATCATCATCATCCTCATCATCATCATCATCATCATCATCATCATCATCATCATCGTCATCACCGTCATCATCAGCATCGTCATCATCTGTATCATTATCATATCCATATTTCTTCTCCCCACTCCCTCATCCATCCAGCCTCCTTCTTCTCCTCCTCCCTCCTTCGCACGGTTCGGCCGTCCACCTCTTAGCTCCCGCACTTCCCTGATCACCTCCACTGACCTGGGCATCGTTTCTGGATGGACTGGTGGGGATAGGCGCAGCGTCTAGAATTCACAACAAAAACTGTACTTCTCCACTGGAAGGCACATGCTTGAGACACGCATGGAGCAGGACTTGCTCTGCCAGGTCTCTAAGACCCCTGGTGTCACCTCTAGGGCAGTGCTGTTTCTGCCCCCGCTCAGTGCGGGAGTGGTGAGAGGCGCACCCCAGGCGCGCGCCCCACGCAGCCACCCCGCGAGACCGGGCAGCCGTCGTGCCGCTGCCGCCACCGCTGGCCGTGCCGCTGCGGGCATCCCGTCGGTCGTCTGTCGCGTCGTCGTCGCCGTCGCCGTGGGCGTCGGGGGGATGCCTGCTGCTTCCCTGCCTGGACCTCGTGCCCCCTCGATGGCGCGCACGAAGCCAGCCCAGAATCCGAGGATCCTGTTTATGGAGGAGGAGGAGGAGAAGGAAGAGGCGGAGGAAGAAGAGGAGGAGGGAGAAGCTCCAGAATCCATCACCCGTCCCACACGTGCGAGTTCTTATCGGAAGAAAGCACACGCAAAGTGTGCAACGCGATTGCCAAAAATGGCCGCTGCGATTCAGCCATATGGAGGCGGAGGAGGAGGAGGAGGAGGAGGAGAAGCCGCATCCTACACGACGAGTCTTACAACATTCCCCTTCATAACTGCAGCCCGCCAGCTACCGACCGTTCCTGGCGCCTGGCAGGACAGGCCCGGCGTGCCCGCACCCTCCAACCGCCCCCCCCCTCTCGGGAGCATCGTTGCCACGCAGTGTAACATATGATTGAGAACACACTGCCGCATGATTTGTCCCAGGCGTGCGTGCACGTATGTTTGTTGAGCAATCACACCTCGAGAGCTCTTTGGTTTCATCGTTCCCCCCAGGCCTCGTGTTGGCAGAGCTTGGAGATGGCGCCCTCCCCAGAGGCGTGCGCCTTGAAGGCGTGGGATGCCTTGATGGCGTCGCGCAGGCAGCGCGCCAGCTCGCCTTGGCCTCGGGCGGACGAGTAGGGGGGGGAAGGCGAGGAAGAGGAGGAGGAGAATAGAGTTTTGAAGGGTTCGTTCCGTGTTTTGAAGAGCTCGAGGGGAAGAAGGAGGAGGAGGAGGAGGAGAGGAGGAGGAGGAGGAGGAGGGGGAGTAGGAGAGGAGAGGAGAGGGGGAGGATAGGACAAGCGGCAGGAGGAAGAGGAGAGGAGGGGGCACAGGCGGGAGGGACGAAGAAGGAAAAGAGGAGGAGGAGGAGGGGGAGGAGGAGGAGGAGGAGGAGGAGGAGGCGGAGAGGGAGAGGAGGGGAGAAGAGAGATAAGGACGAGGAGGAGGAGGAGAGGAGGAGGAGAGGAGGGGAGGAGGGAGGAGGGAGGAGGGGGAGTAGGCCGAGGAAGAGACGGATGGGGAAATCAGGAGAAGGAGAGAAAAACTGCCTCCTCTTCCTCCTCTCCTCCTCCTCCTCCTCCTCCTCTTCTCCCACCCTCCTCATCTTCCTCGTCCTCCTCGTCCTCCTCCTCTCCTCCTCCTCCTCGGCCTCCTTCCTCCTCCTCCTCCTCCTCCTCCTCCTCCTCCTCACCTCCTCCTCCCACCCCCTTCCTCGAGGAGATAAAAGAAAAAGAGGAGCCTTCCGTGACGCTCGCGCAGTGCTCGGCGGCCGCGTCTTTGCACGCGCCCTCCTGCCGCGGAACAGGATCCAAGGCCCTGCTGCCCCAGGCAGGCTCGTTTCGACCTGCCCCTCCCTCCATCCTCCATCCTCATCCTGCTGCTTCTCCTCCTCCTCCTCCTCCTCCTCCTCCTCCTCCTCCTCCTCCTCCTCCTCCTCCTCCTCTTTTCCTCCCGCCCTCCTCCTCCTCCTCCTCCTCTCCTCCTCCCTCCTCTCCTCCTCCTCCTCCTCCTCCTCCTCCTCCTCCTCCTCCTCCCCCTCCTCCTTCCTCCTGTCCCTCTCCTCTATTCTCCCTCCTCTATCCCCTACGCATCCCCCCTCCCCCTCCTCTCCTCTCCTCTCTCCTCCTCCTCCTCTCCTCCTCCCCTCCGTCCTCCGCCTCCGCTCCGCCTCCGCTCGCCTCCTCCTCCTCCTCTCCCTCCTCCTCCTCCTCCGTCCTCCTCCTCCTCCTCCTCCTCCTCCTCCTCCTCCTCCTCCTCCTCCTCCTCCTCCTCCTCCTCCTCCTCCTCTCCTCCTCCTCCTCCTCCTCCTCCTCCTCCTCCTCCTCCTCTCTCCTCCTCCTCCTCCTCCTCCTCCTCCTCCTCCGCCTCTCCTCCTCCTCCTCTCTCCTCCTCCTCCTCCTCCTCCTCCTCCTCCTCCTCCTCCTCCTCCTCCTCCTCCTCCTCCTCCTCCTCCTCCTCCTCCTCCTCCTCCTCCTCCTCCTCCTCCTCCTCCTCTCTCTTTCTCCCCGTCATCCCCATACGCCATCTCCTCACCCTTCACTGCGCTTTGCGCACACACGGATGCGGAGGAAGAAGGAGGGAGGAGGAGGAGGACGACGATGAAGACGAGGATAGGGAGGTGGAGGAGGAGGAGGAGGAGGAGGAGAAGCGCACGTAGCTGAGCTGGAGAAGAACGGGAAGGAGAAGGAGGACAAGGGCAAGGGCAAACGAAGGAGGGTAAGGACGACGACAACAGTGGCGACGATGACGACGACGACGACGACGACGACGACGACGACGACGACGACGACGACGACGACGAGGCCGACGACGACGACGACGACGACGACGACGACGACGACGACGACGACGACGACGACGGCGGCGGCGGCGGCAGCGGCGGCGGCGGCGGCGGCGGCTACGGCGACGACGACGTCGACGAGCGCGCGGGACCCCAGCCAACGGTCCTTGGAGATGTCGTCGGCCTCGGCTGGGGCGGCGGGCTCCGAGGGCTCCTCCGCGACGGCTCCCCGCAGCAGCGCCTCGGGGCAGCTCCTCCTCCTCCTCCTCCTCCTCTTTTTCCTCCTCCTCTTGGGGGAGCGAAAACAGCAGAGTCATCGTGCTACCACGGGGAGCGCTAGGTCTGAAACGACAGGGCTTCTGTGGCCACGGCGAGCCTCGGCCACGAGTAGGTCCCCCGACCTAGATCGAAGCAACGGCACGACATCCACAGTCCCTGCTGAACCAAAAGTGGTCATTAGTTCGGCGTCCTTACTGTAACAGCGACACGCCGCCGCAGGGAATCCGTCGGCGTGTCACTGTGCTGTTGCAGACCGCACCCGGCCTGGGGACAAAACTGGATGAGAGACACGCTGACGGGCTCACAGCGGCGGCGTGTCATTGATACAGTCATGGCTCTGCCAAAGAGAAGGATTGAGAAGGAGCGGCACACCTTTTTTATCAAAATCAAGTCACACATGTCTAAGGAACGGCCGAGCCCCTTGTTGGAGGCGCTCCCTCGTCGTTGCCTCTCGTTTCGCAAGTGGCCGCTCCCTCTGCCGAGGCCTGAGGAACGGGCCTCATACGGCAAGACTGCGAGGGCACGCCGGCAGACCCAGGGAACCTCCGAGCCCCTTCGGAACCCGAGCTGGCTCTCGTTCCAGCGCCATGACTGTACTCTGTTGTTCCCTTTTGGTTTGTTGCCTCCCTCCCGAACGGCGGAGGCGGCGGGGCCGTGCCCTGAAAGCCAGACCTCCCCGGCGCGTGAAGACACAGCGGCGGGAGGGCTCTGGCCGCTCCCGGCCTCCAGGGAGGCCTCGCCGGGCCCGGGCGGGGCCCGGATCACGCGGCACGGCATCGTCACTGGGCGCTGCAGGCGTGCTGTGCGCAGCCTGCAGCGGCAGCACGCGCACCCTCCTGCCCCGTGCCCGGCTCGGTCCGCGCACTGCGCGTTGCTCGACGTGCCAGCGCCTCGGGGCAGGGGGGGGAGAGGGCCTGTGGAGTGCTGTCCCTCTCGACTCACGAGCGGCCCGCGGCGAAGCGAGACCGCATGCAGGCCGCGGCCGGGCCCAGGGAGGAGCTGCTAGAGCCGATGCCCGGCGGAGACGGGGAGAAGAGGGGGTCGAGATCTGGACAGCAGGACCGATCCGAACCCCTACCATGGAAGCCGTAACCCCGCAGACCGACCTGCCCGGGTGGGTGCCGTCTCCCTCGGGGCTCGCGGCGCCCATCCCAGAATATGGGGGGGGGCACGCTGGGAGCTGGCCTACCCTTTCCTGGGGGGGGGGGCGGGATGGCAAAGGGTCGAGGGTCGAGGGGGAGATGGGGGGACCCGGGAGGGGGAGGGGCAGAGCAAAGGCAGGGGAGGACAGGAAGAGGGGCAGAGAAGGGGAGGCGTAGGAGGGATCCAGGAGGGGCAGAGGGGATGGAGGGCTGAGGAGGGGTGCAGGCAACCCGTACAAGGAGGGGTGCAGGCAACCCGTACAACAAAGGATGCACGAGAGGAATGCAAGGGCCTTGGAAGGCCATTTCGACACTTTTCGAGCGGGGCGCGGCCAGCGAAAGTGGCCAAGGATGGGCCGAGGAGGCAAGGATGCAAGGGTATCCTTGGGACAATTCCCCATCCTTCCTATGTGGGTTGACCGTGCGTTTAAGTCGGGCCTGTCCCCCACGGGGGGATTTTCGATGACAAATAAAAATACCCCCAAAACGCCCCCAAAGGACAAAACAATACTCGAAACAGACTATTTTTGGACCATGTTTGGACTAGGCTTGGGGTATTTTTTATTTGTCGTCGAAAATCCCCCTGTAGGGGGACACGTCCAACTTAACTGTACGTCAAATTGTGCTACGTGCCACAAGTGGCGCTGAACAGAACAAACGGAAGGGGGGCTCTGGCCACGGCGATCCGCGGCCACCAATATATTCCCCGACCCAGATTTAAGTCGGGCGTGTCCCCCTACAGGGGGATTTTCGACGAAAAATGAAAAATACCCCAAACATGCTCCAAAATGGTTAAAAAATACTCAAAACATAATACCCAGACTATTTTCTGACTATCTTTGAATATTCCCCCTGTAGAGGGACAGGCCCGACTTAAACCTAGATCCAAGGAGTGGCCTGAAAACTAAAGCCCCCTCCAGAGCAGGAAGTGATCCTTCTTGCAGCGTCTTGCCTGTGCAGGCTGGGCACGGAGGGGGCAAAGGGAGGCACGTAGAGGAGGGAGAGCGCAGGCCGAACTCTGCACCAAAACTTAGGATCCTCAAATCTCGATCCCCCCCGTCCAAGCTCGGCCCATGGACAAGTCCAGGGAAATTCCGCCCAGAATACGGAGGCAGATCCAGCTGTGGCGCCGAGGGCGCCCGGGACGTGCAAAACGCGCAGGCTCAAGAATTCTCGATCCTCCAACCTCGAGGCTAAGAAAACTGGTTGGCTAAGGGGGGGGGTTAGGGGGCCTCTCCAGGGGGGCGCTCTGAACTCCCCAGGGGGGACCTGGCCGCGGAATCGAAGAGGCCCCCCCGAAGGCTCAAGAGGCGCGAAAGGACCCGCGCCCGAACTCGATTCGGCACACTCCTCGCGCGCTTCGTGCCCCATGAACTTCCAGAGACACTCAGTTCGCCCCTTAGGGTTTAGGACGGATCAAGCGGACATCGATTCGGCACACCCCTCATGCACCCCGTGCCCCACAGACCTGCCAGAGGCCCCCAGCGGGATCCCGAGACAGGTATACCCCTCAGCGAACGTCAAAAGGCGGCCCCAGGAAAAACCGCAACGATCACCGCCGCAGCCGCCTTTCGTCGACCCCCACGCCCCGAGGCGTCGAGCCGCCCCCCCGAGGCGTCGAGCCGTCCCCCCCCCGAGGCCTCGAGCGGCCCCCTCCCGAGCCGCCCCACGAGGCGTCGAGCCGCCCCCCGCGAGGCGTCGAGCCGTCCCCCCCCCCCGAGGCCTCGAGCGGCCCCCTCCCGAGCCGCCCCCCGGGGCGTCGAGCCGCCCCTCCGCGGGGGCTCCGCCGGCCGCCCGCCCCCCCCCCCGAGGCGCACACTGCGGCAGCCACCAGGGCGGGCAGCAGCGCCGCGGGGCGCCCCATGGCCGGGGGCGGGCGGGCTCCCGGGAGGGCTCCCGGCCGGCCGTGGCCCGGGTCGGCCAGGGGCGAGAGAGGCCACGCCCCCCCCCCCCCCCCCCTTCTGCGCGCCAGGCGCCGCGCCACGGCCATCCTCCCTCCCCCCCTCCCGCCCTCCCGCCCGCCCGCCCTCCCTCCTCCGCCCTCCTCTCCCATATCCCCCTCCTCCCTCCTCCGCGGCAAGATGGTCGTCAGGGCACGACCCCACCTGTCTACATCTCCACCCTCTCCGCTCCACCCCCAGACCCCGACATCATCATCATGTTTGATAGCGTCCATTTCCAGAAGTCTCGACCCATGCCCAGGGACGGGTTATGCATTCTAGACTGTTTGTTGACGGTCCCCAGACCCGGTAAGGGCCCCCCAATGGCCGAAAACTGAAACAAACAAAAAACTCGACCGTGATTTTCATGGCTCGAGGGGGTCTGGACCGACCCATTCCACATTCCCCCGCATCCCTCCCCGTTCCCAAGCCCCTCAGGCTATCCCCACCTTCCCTCCCGCCATCCTTTCCTTCTCCTCCCTGCGCGCCGCCTCCCAGGGCTGAAACGAAGGGGGGCCCTGGCCTCACACGCCCCAAAAACAAGGCGGCGCGACGGCGCTTCGCGATCCAGAGATTCGCTGCAGAGGGAACGGGAGAAGAAAGAAAAAGAAGAGGAAGAGGAAGAGGAAGAGGAAGGGTGAAAGAAAGAGAAAGGGCAGGGGAAAGGGGAAGGGGAAAGAGTAAGGGGCATATGAGAAGTATGAAGAGGAAAATGGCGAGGACGGCGGGGGGGCGGTCGCAATGATGAATCCAACTGCTCCTGTTCGCAATCTTACTACCCATGAGGTGCTAAAGTCGAACCTGTGGGACCCTCTCTCCCATGATGGGATTAGCACCAGCCTGGCTGAATCTGCACGATGTAGGACGTTGGTAGGCACGCGGAGGTTTACTCCTCCTCCTCCTCCTCCTCCTCCTCCTCCTCCTCCTCCTCCTCCTCCTCCCTCTCCTCCTCCTCCTCCTCCTCCTCCTCCTCCTCCTCCTCCTCCTCCTCCTCCTCCTCCTCTGTCTCCTCTGCCTCCTCTGCCTCCTCCATTCCTTGTCCTTATGAGCAACTCCTCCCTGCCGCATCCCCAGACGTGTCAGTAGGGCGGGCCAGGCGTTTCGCCCGAGCTTTCCTCACCATGTTATGATATGGAGCGTAAGATCTGCAGCAACGTTGCGGATGGAGGGCAGGCGGTGCTCAAACTGTGGCTCGCGCCGAAAGCGGCGCACAGTCGCTTTAAAAGCTAGTGGCAGCTACACGAAACGAGGACGGCTCTGCTTCAAAAGGTGGCTATCGCCTTCGCGCCGTGCACACTCGTCGCAAAAGTTTGCAACAGAAGGGTTCGAACAGTTAAAGTCCCAGGCATGATGTCCTGGCGCGACTTAGGATTGCCAGTACGCAACAGTCGCGCTGACTCACGGCATTGTGAAGTTCCAGACATCGTGTTCTGGCACAGCTCAAGACTGCCAGGACGGAACAGACACGTTGATCCGCGGCGTTGAAGTCCCAAGAACTAAACTGTGCATTGGCACGGTTGACGATTTTCACACGGTGGCCTTCCAACGGGGCACTTCTCGCAATGAAAATAAATTCTGGTAGGGACCTATGAAGAAGAACCTTGGAGGGAGGCTTTATTGCAACATCGCTGATGCGTCTTGGGTTTACACTGGTTCCCCTCCGCCTCCTCCTCACCCTCATCCTTTCCATCCCGATCTGCAAGTGCAGTGCCCCGGGACAGCCTGGCAGCGCTCCGAGCCCGCACAGCGGCGAAGTAGGCGCGACGTCAGGCTGAGGGGTTGGAGGCGGCCGCGGGGGCCGAACTGGCCCAGGGTCCATCTAGCCCAGTGTTTCACCCCAGATCCGTCTTCCATTATCCTGTGGCCCGTAAACCACACCCGGAGGCCGAAGAGGGAGATACTCCAGATTTCGTAATAAAGGGAGGGGGGTCTCATTTCGGGGGGGGGGTCTCTTCCGGGCTATCTTGGAGGGCCTGGGGGGTCTGGGGACGATGTTTTGGAGGGCTCTCCCACGGGGGAGGTCTGAAACGGCTTGTCTTGGAGGGTCCAGACCCCCTCCCTGTTATTACGACATCTGGAGTAACCACTCCGAACCCAGGATCTCCCACTGTCACGCCCGCCCTGCTGGCCGGAACGAGTGCTGGGCCACCCCAAGCCCCCAGACGGCTCCAGCTGATGCGTGTGGTTGAAACTGGTCCAACAGACAGACTGAGAGACGGATCAGAGGCGGCCCAACAAAATCCTCTGTCAAAGAGATCAACCCCAGTGTGGACTAGGATCAGACCCAGATGGCCAACAAACCAATCGTGCAGCCCAGTGTTTCCACCCAGATCCGTCTCCCAGACCCCTCGGACGTCCATTCCCCGTGCTTTTGTCGGTTCCGTGCGTGTGTTTTTTTTCGCCGAGTGATCAAGGATGCTCCTCGATGGTCCTCGCCGAAAGAAACATGCACACGTCCGAGCGATGCCAATCGGTCAAAGGTGGCCCCACACAATCCTCGCCTTCCCGTTCTCCTCCCTCTTGGGGAGAGCGGCGGGAACCAATCATGGAGCCCAGTTTTTCAACCCAAATCCGTCTCCCAGACCCCTTCTCTGGTCAAAGGTGACCCAACTCGTCTGGTCAAGGGCGGCCCCACAAAATCCTCTCCTTCCCGTTCCCCTCCCTCTCGGCGGAGAGCGGCGGGGCCCTCTCCTCCCTGGACTGCTGCAGGCCCCGCGGGGTCAGCTCGAGCAGGCTGTCGCCCTTGTTGGTGTAGAGCACCTTGTTAACATTCCCTGCGCGCAGGGGAGGACGGGAAGAGAGAGGAGATGGAGGAGGAGGAGGAGGAGGAGGAGGAGGAGGAGGAGGAGGCGGAGGTGGAGGCGGAGGCGGAGGAGGAGGAGGGGACGGAGCAGGAGGAGAGGGGAAGAAAATGGGGGGAGAGAGGAAGAGAGGGAAAGTGGGAGACAGAAAGAGATAGGAATGCATGCATGCACAGAGAGAAAGCAAGGAAGAGGAAGGGGGAGAGGCAACACAGACAAACCACACACATACATATCTACATATCAAGATGCATCCCAGAAAGTAGATGTGTGCACATCAAGAGATGAATCCGATTTACTAGATACAACAACTTGGTACATGTATATATATATATATATATATATACATGTGCATACAAATGTGTACATCGAGGGAGCGAAGATAATCACAATAGCCATCTAGGTATACACGTGTTACTATATATATATATATGTATGTACACATTGAACGCGCGTGTGAAAGAGTGAGATGAGATACTACACGAAAGAGAAGAGGGAGAGAGAGAGAGAGAGATAGAGAACGCACAACAAAAAGAGGGGTGAGGAGGATCAGCGGCAAAGGCATGAGGTGGCGGGAGAGGATTCGGTCGACGAGGTGGGGAAGACAGAGGAGGAGGAGGAGGAGGAGGACCACAGTAAACCTAAGATGTACCAACGACGCTGCAACACACCCTTCCGCCTCATGTCCCTTCCTCATGTCACCTTACAAGCGTTCCTGTCCATTCGAAGAAACGCCCCCACGAAACACGAGAGCCCCTGTTTGGAACGGTGTTGTATCCTTGTACTGGCGAGTCAGCAACGCGCGAGATCTATGATCATGTACCTCAGCGAGGTGCCTGTCGAGACCCTCGTTTTGAAAAAGAGCCGCTTAACCTGTGTATCTCGCGCGCACTCTCCAGCATCTGGTCAGGAACGCCGAAAGAAAACCTCCCTCGAACGAGAACAACATTTCGAAAAAAGACCACCCTCTATCCCGTGCAAACGTATCATGAGTGTACGCTCCTGGTCTCTAGAGTACAGAAACTTCACGCAAACCACCAAGTTTGAACACCAACCGCACTCCATCCACGCAGCTGCTGCATTTGTGCAACCTTCTGATCTGCGAGCTTAGGCACGCTTCCGACGCTGACCACATTTAGGAAAAGGAACCACCCGCCATCCGGGCAACTCTTGCAAGCTGCTAAGGCGCATGCTTGCGGCACTCAGATGAGGAGCTCCATTTTGGAAACGAACTTCTTCCATCCTTGGCACAGTTGCAAAGGATTGCGCAGAATGTGCGCAGCGCTATTGCGAGATCTCCATTTTGATCTTCCCTCCGTCCTTGGAAAAATCCTAGCTTTCTAAACGAATGCGCACGGCGCTCATGCAAGAGCTCCATCTTGAAACCGCCCCCCTTACAGCAATGAAACTGTCGCAAACTGTTAAGACGAATGAGCGCGGCCCGATTGCGAGATCTCCATTTTGACCCCCTCCCCTCCGTCCTTGCATTGATTATAAGCTTTCAGAACGAAAGTGCGCAGACAAAGGCGAAGGCTCTATTTTGAAAACGCCCCCCGTCCATGATTGCAACTGTGGCAATTTAGAATCAGCAAATGTGCGCGGGTCTAAGGCGAGAGCTCCATGCTGTGTTGAAAGAGGGCTCCCCCTCCATCGCTGAACCTCTTGCACAGTTCAGGCATCAGTACCAGAAGTGGTGACGAAGTCTGAGGCGAAATGCCCCGCCCGCCCTACAGACACGTCTGGGGGTGCGACAGGGAGGAGCTATCGCAAGGGAAAGGGATGGATGAAGGAAGGAAGTGGCTCAGAGGAACACTGCACGATCCAGGCCGACACAAGTCCCTGATCCCGATGCTGGCCCTGCCCCAACCCGCAAGGCGTGAAAGCCCCGATCGAAAGCCCGACACGCCACTAGAAAACAAAAAAACTGCAGAAACGTAAACTTTCGGAGGTCTTTGGTCGGCGCTGCCCCACCCCCTTCCCGCCCCCGGCGCGCGGAGCGCGCCGGGAAAGGGGCGCGAGGAGAAGGGCACAGCGCGGACCCAAGACATCTGCGCGGACCTCCGAAAAATCATCTGTGTGTCTATCTATCTGCGGGCCGCTGACAACCCCGATCCCGATCGGTGGAATCAGATCACGTGATTCCGAGGTTAAAGGAGCATCAAGGATCGAGTTGTCGGGGCTGCCTAGTGGACTCTGACCTCTTCTTTGAGGAAAGGAGCTGTTTGGCTACTGTTGTCTGGCTTGTGCCTCCTGACGTGGGCGCCGATTCCATTTCGGCATGGCGTCGGCGCTGGTTTGTATGCCAAGCTGTGATGTACCATATCGTGCTGTGTTGTACTAAGCTCTGCCGTTATACTACAATGTCGTGGGATGTGAGATGCTGATGTATGCTGTGCCACGGTGTCCCTATGATATGATGGCACATTTTACTGTATGCCATCTGAAATGCTACGGTGGCGCTTGTTTGTTTTGCGGTAGCATGATGCGCTGCGCTGTATGGTATGCGAAGTCAGGCGGTTCTGAACACTCCTACGCTGTGTTATGCAATGCCATGCTAAGTTGCGCTATGTGAAGCTACGCAATGCTACGCAATACTAGCAAATTGTGTTCGACCCAATAAACATCGGCGCTCCGAAAGTTGATTCCGACTTGAGAAGCACGGCGCAGCGCGACTGCACAGCAAACGCTATGCTGGAAGGGCGCGGCAACGCGCGCCTCCTGGACAGGCGCGAGCAGCCGCGCCCCCATGCGAACCCCGATCCCGCGCGGGGCGCGCTTCTGTTGACAATGGTTCACCCGGGAAACCGTTTCTTGGTCTGCCCATCGGCGGCTCTTTCGGACGAGGCCCGGAACCACCGAGAAACCGTGTGCCATAGGATGTTCTAAGCGGTTTGTCCATGTTCGTTTTCTCCGGAGTGGACCCGAAGACCTCGAGAACGATGTGTTTTGCGAAAATTCCTAGGCGGCTCGCGCATTCTCGGGTCGTTTGAAGTGGGCCCGATTTTTTTGTTGCACAAATCCTATTCGTTTGGCCACTTTCAGGTCGGCCGATAAACTTTTCGGGTCGTCGAATGACCGAACCCAAAAACTTTGTTCGAGGACGTCCAAAGCCGTTTGCTCATTTTCGGGTCAGCACACCGTTTGGAATTTAAAATTCTAAATTGGGAAAGGGGGACCCGATCCCGCGACCCCGGGCGGGGTTTAGGCTCTGCCCTTGCATTGTACTGGGCCCCTCCGGCCAAACGGGGCGCTGGGCTGCCCATCGGCGCGCCGACTCTGCCCTCGCGACATCGCCCCCATCCGCCCTCGGGCCCCGCGAGTCTTCGCGCGCGCCACCCCAGATGGCCCCGGCGAGCACGGTGGCGAAATCGGGGAAACTTTCGGATCGGCGCAGTATGAAACGCTACGATACACCCTGCCATTATACGTCATGCTGTGCCATGCTACACCCCGCGTAGGGAAGAAAATGTCAAGCTAATAAAACAATAGCCGGGGTCCAGGCAAACGAAAATTCTTGAAACCAAGGTAGCTCCAAGAAAGCACCCAGGGTGGAATCCAGATCCAGATTCTTGACTTCGTAAGCGATACCTGGAATCCCAGCAAGATGATGCTGTTTCCATGGATTTCCGCAATCGCATGCTGTGACAAATCTGATAGCCACTACGATACACTGAAGACGTGCCATGATATGCTAGCCGGTGTATTGATACGAGTTGGTATGCTTCACTACGTCTTGTAGTTCCTGGCACCTCCCTGCACTACACCACATTGCATTGCGTTGCACATGTACGCCTTCATCACAGACAAGACAAGAATCACGATTGGGGTCGAGACGAGTTCGTTGGACAACGATGGCCCTTCTTTGTACCTCTGGAAGCGTTGGGAGGCCTCCGGAGAAGAGGCCTGAGAGGACCTCCGGAACCACACAGGGTGATCCGTAAACCCAAGTGACTCTGAGCTTCGTACCTCGCGAAACGCGAGGCGCGGTCATCTTTTCGCGCCCTAGCACAGCCACCCCAGAAAAGAACAGCTCTCCGCGCTCCAGGCTACAGCGCATGAGTCGCGATTATCTTCGCACAGTGAAGGTGACCCTGATCGAAGGACAGGCGGGATCGGTTGGCCTGACCGATCCGTCATCGACAAATTCCGAATCAGGAGCTCTTCACGTCCAGAAGCCTCGCCCTGCGGCAGCAGGGCCAGCCGCAGGAGCCAGGGCGCGAGGCAAAGACGCCAGACCCTTGGAGGACGGTGTTGCAACTGTTGCTGCGGCACCGGCCATGAGGAGGCAGTGGCCAGGCACAGGCCGAAAAGGCAAGGATGCAAGGGCGCCGTGCTGAAAGGCTCCATCTCTTCTGTGGTGGCTGGCCTCACTTCTAACAAGACTGGCCCTGCCGCAGGCGGCCGGCCCCTCAGGTCCCTAGACAACCTGACCTCGCGCTTCGTGCTGCACTAAGCGCGGCATCTTTGTGCAGAACGCGGGCGCCATCTCTTTTTTTGTATAAAATCATGCGCATATATACATATATCGGAGGTGAGGGTTGAGATCGAAGTGGAAAGGAGAGCCCCCCATACCAGGAAATCGGTTTCGGTTTCGTGTTCGTGCGTGCCGTGCGTGCGGGCGAGGCGAAGCTGCGTGGGCGGGCGAGAACTAAGTCTCCTGTAGCTGAGGCGTGGCTGGACCAAAAGTCTTACTTCCGGCAACCGGTGTCCCGCGGTGTCCCGCCGGTGTCCCGCTCGGGGGCCGGTGGCGCGCGGTGTCCCGCCGGTGTCCCGTCGGTGTCCCGCTGATGATGATGATGATATTGATGATGTTGACGATGATGATGATGATGATGATGATGATGATGTTGTTGTTGATGGTGATGATGGTGATGGTGTTGATGATGATGATGGTGTCCCGATGATGATGATGATGATGATGATGATGATGATGATGATGATGTTAGCAATGTTGATGGTGATGATGATGATGGTCATCATGGTGATGGTGGTGATGATGATGGTGCCCCGATGATGATGATGATGATGTTGATGATGATGTTGCTGGTGATGATGATGATGATAGTGCCCCAATGATGATGATGATGTTGATGATCCTGATGATGTTGATGATGATCATATGATTTGATGATGATGATGGTGATGATGGTGTCCCGATTATGATGATGTCGATGATGATGAGGAGGAGGTTGATGATAATGATGATGTTGATGATGATGTTGATGATGATGGCGTCCCGATGATGATGATAATGATGATGATGATGCTGATGATGATGATGGCGACGATGGTGTCCCGATGATGAAGGTGATGATGTTGATGATGAGGATGAGGATGAGGTGATGATGATGATCTTGATTATGGTGGCCCAATGATGGTGATGATGATGTTGATGTTGATGATGATGATGATGATGATGATGATGGTGTCCCGATGATGTTGATGATGATGGTGATGATGATGGTGACGATTATGATGGTGTTCCGGTGATGGTGATGATGATGTTGATGATGATGAAGTTGCTAATGGTAGTGATGATGGTGTCCCGATGACGATGATGTTGATGATGTTGTTCGTGATCCTGATGACGAGATGATGATGACGATGGTGGTGTTCCGATGATGATGATGGTGCCCCCGAGATGATGATGTCGATGATGATGATGATGATGGTGACGATGATGGTGCCCCGATGATAATGATGATGATGGTGATGATGATGGTGGTGATGAGGTGATGATGATGATGGCCTCCCGATGATGATGATGATGATGGTGGTGATGATGATGATGAAGATGATGATGATGATGCTGATGTTAATGACGTTGATGACGATGACGTTAATGAGGATGACGTTGATTGTGATATCTATTGTGATATCGAAAGTGAGATCGATAGTTAGACCGAATGTGAGATCGATTGTGAGATCGACAGTGACGATCGTGAGATCGATTGTGGCATCGATAGCCAGATCGATTGTGCGATCGATCGAATGAAATAGATCGAGTGAGATCGATTGTGAGATCGATCGAGTGAGATCGATCGAGCGAGACCGATAGTGAGATCGATAGTGAGACCGATCGAGTGAGACGTTGGTTCCTCCCCCCCCAACCTCCTTATCACCCGAAGGGTGGTCGTATAGGTATACATATATATATGTAGAAACAAAAAAAAAAGGGCGGCAGAAATGCCCAGACCCGCCAACTTCCAACCGACGCGGAGGGCCGCCCGCACTGGCACCGGGGACCACCGAGAGGCTCCCAGGCAGGCCCCAGGGCCAACTTGCCCGTCCAGACCTCCCAAATGAGCGACGAACAAGAACGGGTCTTAGGCGAGAAGAGAAGACATAGCGACCGTATACGCAGTGGCTCACGCGGGTCGCCAGCGCGGCACACTGCATTGGAAACGAGGGCGCTTACGCGCGACCTCACGCGGGCGGCTGACGCACGAGCGTCCACGCAGTCGACCCTGCTTTCTTCTGTCGCCCAAATCTTTTCAGAGTCCGACAACGCGACTCCATGGTAAGGCTAGAGCACCTCTTGGGTGTCCCAGAATGGTGCGGTGATAGACCGTGCGGTGACCTCGCAGTCTCACAAGACCTCACCGCACGGTCCATCACCGCACCGTTTTGGGACCCTGGAGGCCTCAACCGCACGAGACAACCTCAGAGAACGACCCAAGTCCCAAAACCGTGCGGTCCCACCGAATTCCCAATGACGCACCACACGGTGTGGTCACCTCACCACTTGGGTGCCCCCGATTGCCCTCACCGCTCACACTTCTCTTCGCGAGGCTCCGCCCAGAGCTCCTCCAACCTGGACCTGCCAGCGCCCGCGCCGCGGCGCGGACGCAGCAGGAAAGCCCGGGCGCCATTCGTGCACGCCTGGAGCCACAAGAGCCTCGGCGCCACTCGTATGTACAGTTGAAAGTTGGCGACGAACGTCAGCTGCGCGCAGAGTGGGGTGGGGGGAGGGGGGAGGGCTTCTAGACACATCCCTGCTTCTTAGAAGGCGCGGGCTTTATCTGTACATGCGAGACCGGCACCTTCGAATAAGCAGCCTCCTCCTGAGAAGCCCTCCCACCTCCCTCCACCCCCTTGCGCGCGCCGCCAAGAGCGGGCTACCAGGAAGCCGGACACGCACGTGGCCAGATGCACACGTGAAACGTCTGGAGGCCACGAGCTGGATGTGCGCGTGCGGCGGCTGGTGAGCCCAGCCAAGCGCTGGCAGAGCGGCGGAGACACGCGCGGCCGCGTGTGCAGCCAGCCGACGCCCAGGCTCGCAGCCATCGTGTGCACCCGGCTTCCCGGCACGAGACGGCGCGGTGACAGCGCTGCGCCAGCGCCGCAGATGCGACACCCGCAGCCCCGTGGGGACTCACGAGCGACGAACAAGTCCGTATCTGCGCCCTCGCGGCTTGGATTCCGGGGCGCGACCCCGCGAATACGCACGCGGTCGCACAGCTACCTTCCGCGCGAGGCATCCGCCAAGAACCGCCTCGTATCCGAGGGGTCGCGGCCCAGGGTCCCGGCCCGCGCGCGGCCGCGGATACGGAGATCTTAGCCCACGAGGAAACGAATACGCGGGGGCGAGCCATCGCACTCTCCCCGGCATGGAGCAAACGCGTCGTGGGGGAAACGGGTCCTGGACTCCCCAGGACCTTCCCCTGGGACCAGCTCCTCGTGCTGCGCCGTTTCCTGACCATCCTGGGGCCAGGGCAGGGCCCCAGGAGACCAAGCACTCAGAAGCACCCGAGGAGACCCGTTTGCTACATGGCCGCGTCCTGGATCGATGCGTCACTCTTCGCAGTAAGGCCTGCGACCGGCCCCGCCTCCCCCCTCCTCCCCCCTGGCTGCGTCGCCATTCGGGCAGTCGCCGTCTGGGGATTAGCCATCCTGATGGGCATTCCCAGACGGCGCCGGCGCGAAACGTGACGTTACCGGCCCCCTCCCCCCCTGGTCACGCCCGGTATCGTCAGGGGATACGGTCGGGAACTGTTGCTGAGCGTCTTGCGGCGGTGGCCCCGGCGACGCGCTGTGCCTTCGGAGTGGACAGCTTGTCGCTCCGCTCCGCGGGGCGGGAGGCTGGGAAAGGCCCGGGGCGCTGAAGCTTGGGGGCCGGGAGGTGGACAGCGTGTCGTGCCCCAGCGCGGTGGGCCAGAACCGACGAAGCGACACGCCTTCAAAAACTCCCAACTGTACCCCCCTTCCCCTGGTCACACCCGTTATCGCCAGAGAGAATTCTCTCATCTTCACGGGCCCACCTGGGAGGCCACCAGCGAGTCTGCATTGGATGGTACCCCAGAAAATCGATCAGGAGGAAGAGATGAAGGCCAAATCCATGGGCAATCTCCCTGGACCACTCCTAGGGTCCATCTGGCGCAATATTTTGGACTCCGTTTTTCAAGGCCCCAGGGCCCGAAGACGGCCCCCAGAACCCGAAACAGGCCCCCAAAAACCTTCTCGAGCCCAGAACCTCGAACCCGCCCGTCCTTCCTGCTGGCCGGAGCCAGTGCTGGGCCACCTCAGACCCCAAGACGGCTCCCGCGCCCGTGCTCGCCAGGGCCAACCAAATCGGTCCCACCTTCACATTGGACGAGCGCGCTCCACTACAGCCATCGGCCTGACCTAAGGAACGGTAAATTAGGAACGAAGCCCCTTTCTCTCACGAGGAATAACGCATAAGGAACGATGGATAATACATAACGCACAAGGAGCGATACATAACGCATGCAAGCCTAAGGAACGACCGAGCCCCTTTCGAAAAGCAAGTGTTCTTTATTCACGCCGCCCACTGTACTCGCAAAGCAACTGCTCGCAGGTGGCCTGGATCTGCCGCGGGGGGCTCACGATCCATGATATATACATATATATACACATATATATATAATATTAGAGGAAGACGTGCTTCTTGTCCCGGACGTGTGCGAGCAGGCACTCTGCGAGCAGTGAAGCGCGCTCGGTGCCTGCAAGCCCACCCGCCCCGACCGAGCACGCCGCCCGCTGGCCGGCCCGCCAGGCCACTGGCGGGCCGGCGGCCGCGCCCACCGCGGCGCGCGAGGCGCGGCCGCGGAGGCCGGGCCCCGCGCGCGGCCGCGCGCCCTCCCCGCGCCTGCCTGGGCGGCCTCGAGGCCCACCCCACGAGCGAGTCCCCGCAGCCTGCCGGCGGCTCCGCTAGGCCGTCGGCGGGCTGGCGGCCGCGCCCACCTCGGGCGGTGCTGCATGGGGGGGGGGGGGCTATGTGGGCCCAGAGCCCCTCGACTCATGGGCAAAAACCACGACGGGAAGTTTTGTCGCGCTTTGTGGCCGCTGGGTGCCCTTGTGCCGCCACAGGGCCGCGGGACCGTCAACAAAACGACTCAGGAGGAACAGCCGGTCCTTGGAAATGGGTCGAGACCTCTGAGGATCGACGTCATAAACAATCATGACGTGGGGGGTCTGGGAAATGGGGGAGGGAGGAGAAACGTGTACGTACCTTTCGTGCCCCCCTTGGGCCCCAGGGGGGCCCTTCAGGGCTCATTTGGGGCACAAGGGGTGGGCCTTCCTTTACCGCCCCCCCCCCATTCATTCAGATCTGACGTTGGGAGACAGTGCAACATCGCGAGAAAACACCGCCGGAGCCCTAGACCCCATCTTTCTGCGTCATTTGGCGAGCCGGATCGATCTGTGAGGGCTTCAGGCAGGGCCCGGAACAATGCAAAATCCCTCTTTGTGAAACGAAACTCGACACTGCGACCACTCGGGCGCTAATCCCACCAGCCCTTCAGGGCGTGAGAGTTTTAGAGCGTTTCTTCTTCCAGTCCCCCTTATTCCCCTTCAAGGCTTCCAGTCCCCCTTATTCCCCTTCAAGGAGGGGTTGTACCCTCTTCCTGTCCCTCTCCCGTTGTGCAAAAATTGCAACGCCAGGATCTGAGGGTTATCCAAGCCCCCGACGTCATGATTTGTTCGAACGTCGACCCCCAGAGGTCTCGACCCATTCCCCGGGACGAGTTTTTCATCCTGAACCATTAATTGACGGCCCCGGGGCCTGTAAGGACCCCCAAAGGCCAAAAACCACGAAAAACCTCCCGTTGAAATTTGTTCATGATTCCAAGTGGTCTGGATCTGCCAGGATCTGAGGGGAAGGCGTGGCGCGTGAGCCGAGCCGAGCGCGCCCGGGCGCAGAAAGACAAAGGGCACCCCGCTCCCCCTACGACTGAGGCGCAACGAAGGGGGGGGGGGGACCCAGAATCGGCCATACCTGGCCGAGAAGTCGGCGGCAGGCCCACGTGAGGCTTACGCGACGCCGCGACCACCGTGCTGCCCCCCGAGGCGGGCAGCCGCCGCAGGAAGGGCAGGGCCTGCAGCAGCCCGCGGGGCCGCACGGCCAGGCCCTGCCGCAGGCTGATCAGGCCGACCAGGCGGCGCCGGGCGTCCGCCTCATCGCGCAGGTCGCGGTCCTGTCGGCGGCGCGCAGGAGCCCCGAGATCCTGGCGCCCCCATGTGTTGGGCCTGTTTTCCACCACCACCACCACCACCATAAGTTGGAGGGGGAGGGGCTCCTCCTCCTCCTCCTCCTCCTCCTCCTCCTCCTCCTCCTTCTCCTCCTCCTCCTCCTCCTCCTCCTCTCCTCCTCCTCCTCCTCCTCCTCCTCCTCCTCCTCCTCCTCCTCCTCCTCCTCCTCCTCCTCCTCCTCCTCCTCTTCGTCCTCTTCGTCCTCTTCGTCCTCCTCCTCCTCCTTCTCCTCCTCGTCCTCCTCCTCGTCCTCCTCGTCCTTCCCCCTTCCAACTTATGGTCGTGGTGGTGGAAAACAGGCCCATCAGCCATGGGCTCACCACGGGCGCTCTCGCCCCAGCCTCCGGCCCCGGGGCCCTCTGAGATCGATCCGGCTCGGAAGAGATGGCACCGGAAGATGGGGTCTGGGGCTCCAGTCGCGGTTTTTCGCTGCGTTGCGGTTTTTTGTTCTTGTCCGGCGCCGAATTCAACAAACAAATCAAGACATTGGATCTCTGGGTCTCCGCGGCGTGAGATCGAGCTGTCTCGAAAGATTACGCAGAAAGATTGGGTACAAGGCTCCGGTCGTGGTTTTTCGCGATGTTGTAATTTGCCCACCACGTCAGATCTGAGGGGAGTGACCTTTGGGCCGACCCGCTAGCTGCGCTCCCAGCCATCACCTTGAGCCGCAGCCTAGATGCCTACGCATCATCGTAGCATGCCTAGGCATGGGGCATGGCAATGCAGATGCCTGGGCATGGCACTGCTGATAATTACCTAGGCATTCGCATGGGTATGTCTACACATGCATCCAGTGATGCGTTTATGGACGTGGCTGGCTTGGCTGGTCAAGAATGACTGGTAAGGCTTCGGGTTGCGCACAAACAGCCCCCCCCCCCCCAGGTTATCCAGTCTGGGCTCAACAGGCCCCCCTAGTAGTCCCAGGTGGCCTCAACTGGCACCCCGAGCAGTTAGGGGTGGTTAACACCCTGTCGCCGCCTCTGGCGGCGCCCCTGGCGCGCTCCTCGCCCCAGGGTTAGGGTGCTGGAGCCGTCTGGAGGTCTGAGGTGGCCCAGCACTGGAGCCAGCCAGCAGGAAGTGCGGGCAGGTTCGAAGTCCTAGGATCGGGCAAGTTTTTGTCTTTTTGCCATCTGGGGGCCGTTTTCGGGCCCTGGGGCACTGAAAAACTGATCCCGGACGACACGCTGCACCAGATGGAGCCCGGAAGGCGTCTGGGAACAGATTTTATGCGGGCTTGGTCCCCCGTTTCACGGTGAACGACGACCGACGACCGACGACGACCAACAACGACGACGCGGACGACGACGACAACTTCGACGACGACGACGACGACACCGACCGACCGACCGACCGACCGACCGACTGACCGACCGACCAACCGACGACGACGAAGATGATGACGACGACGGACAACAACAGACGACGGACGACGACCACGGACGACGACGACGACGACAACGACGACGACAACGACGACGACGACGACGACCGACGACGACGATGACGACGACCGACGACCGACGACGACCGACGACCGACGACCGACGACCGACGACGACGACGTCGACGACGACAACTTCGACGACGACGACGACGACACCGACCGACCGACCGACCGACCGACCGACCGACGACGACAACGACGACGACGACGACGACGACGACCGACGACCGACCGACCGACCGACCGACGACGACGACGACGACGACGACGACCGACGACGACCGACGACCGACGACCGACGACCGACGACCGACGACGACAATGTCGACGACGACAACTTCGACGACGACGACGACGACACCGACCGACCGACCGACCGACCGACCGACCGACGACGACGACGACGACGGACGACAACAGACGACGGACGACGACGACGACGACGACGACGACGACGACGACGACGACGACGACGACGACGACGACGACGACGACGACGACGACGACGACGACGACGACGACGACGACGACGACGACGACGACGACGACCGACGACGACGACGACGACGACGACGACGACGACGACCGACGACGACGACGACGACGACGACGACGACGGACGACGACGACGACGACGACGACGACGACGACGACGGACGACCGACGACGACGACGACGACGACGACGACGACGACGACGACGACGACGACGGACGACGACGACGACGACGACGACACGACGACGACGACGACGACGACGACGACGACGACCGACGACCGACGACCGACGACCGACGACCGACGACGACGACTTGGGCAAGAGTGACCTTTGGTGCGCGGCTCCGGGGAGCCACGAGCCACGGGGGGGGGGGGCGAAGCCAAGCGCCGAGGCCAGCCGGTGCTGTGGGCGCCCCCCGCGTGGGTGCGCACGAGGGGCCGCTCCAGCCCCATGGGGTTCCGCTTTGACGCGCAGCCGAGTCATCCTCCAGGTCTGGGTCCAGGCCCAGGCCCACCTCGGGCTCGGGCGGGCTGGCCACGAGGCCGTAGTAGCCAGGGCGCGGCGGGAACTCGCGGCCGCCCAGGCTGAAGTACACCTCCGCCCGGGCCGCGGTGTCGTCGTCGGGCTCCGACCAGCACAGCTGCACCTGCTTGCCCCACGCGGTGCTGCTCAGCTGCCCCTCTGCCACGCCCCTCGAGGCCAGGGCACGCAGGACCACCCTGGCGCGATGCAGCGAGCAAGTCTTGGCGATGAACCCAGGCGCTGCTTTGCCAACGTGGGCGTCCACGTGGAGGCGCACGCGCGGAAACCTCTTCCCCACGACCGCCGCTCCGTCTATCAGGGGCATGGTGACCGCCCTGGGGTCGGTGCCGCCCCCGTACGGAAAGTACACATGGTTCTTCGTGGGTCCCATGCAGAGCTCCTGGACCTGCAGGCCCAGGGCCAGCAGTTCCAGAGTCGCGCAGCCCTCCGCCCACGCGGCGCCTCGCCGCCGCATCTCCTCAGCGCGACGCAATGCAAAGTCCGTGCCGCCCACGCACTCCCGCATCTGCCGGCTGGCCACGCCCAGCCGCGCAAGCAGCTGCGGCTCACAGCAGGTCTCCCCGATGGTCTCGACCACGTCGGGGAGGTCCAAGAAAGCCGGGGGCGGGACATCGTGCTCGCTGCCCCGGCTGCACTGCTCTACCTGTCGGCGCAGAGCTGCGGGCACTGCTGGCGCCACGGCCGCGGCGGGGCATGGCTCGCGCTGGAAACCAGCTGTGCACGAAGGGGTGGCCACCGTCTGCAGGCCGATGCCCTGCAGGTGTTCTAACTCCATGGAGCGCGCGGCGGTGCCTGGCTGGCACGCGCTGGCGGGGTCAAGACGAGACCCTCTGCGAGCGCTGGCCCGAATCAAGAAGCTTGGGCCAGAAACTCAAACACGATTCGTTTCTCCCTCCCGGTCAGGATCCACAAGTTGGCCTCCAGACCCGTCCTGGGCACCGTCCTGACCATGTGATTGAACCGAGTCCACCTGCGGCGACGAAAAAAGGGCCCCGCGAGGGCTAGAAAGGAATTCCGCTGACCCCCGCTTCAATGCATGTGATGCCTGACTACTACTCCTTCCCGTTCCCGCTGCCTCTCCGCGAAGCCAGACATGCTATCGCAGAGGAGCGGGGCACGAGCTCCCCTCCCCGAGCCAAAAAAAGGCTCCCCCTCTCTCCCCCGTGCCTGAAGCCTCTCCTTCCACCCTCGGGGGTCGGCGGTGTTGCACGAGCCCCAACGACACTCCCCCCGCCTCGGGGGACCCGCAGATTGGCGCAGGCCGCAGGCATCACATCACGACAAGCGACCCGCTCCAGAAGCCCTGACCCGAAAGGTCTGCATCCGAGGAAGATGGCAACACATAAGGACCACATCCGAGAAAGAATTTCGAGCACCCAGAAAAAGTATCGAAACAACGTCGAATGAGTATCGCCTCCCAGGGCCTGACACGTGAAAACCCTTCCGTTTCGGTACTTTCTTGCTGCTCGACATTCTGGTGAACAAGGCTGAAGCAGGTTGCAAACATCATAACGATAGCGAAGCACCTCTCGTCGTGATGTTGTTCATGGTCGACTCGAGGGGGTCTGGGCCTGGAGCGCCGCCGGCCCACGGCCCTGGAAAGGACGGCCCCGGCCCGGCTCGCCTTCCTGGCCCGGCAACAGGAGGGCGCACACACAGCTCCTGGGCTCAGGAGGCGCCTGGCCGGGGACCAGCGGATGCGACCAAGACACCCAGCGGCTCGATCCCTTCGAGCCGCGGCCCCCGACCTCTCGACCGCCTCCCCCCGGACCAGCTTCTCCTCCCTGGCGGGCTTCTTCTGCTGCGTCTGTTTTCCACCACCACCACCACCACCATAAGCTGGAGGAAGAGGAGGAGGAGGAGGAGGAGGAGGAGGAGGAGGAGGAGAAGGAGGAGGACGACGACGACGAAGAGGAGGAGGAGGAGGAGGAGGAAGAGGACCCCCTCCTCCTCCAACTTATGGTGGTGGTGGTGGAAAACAGGCCCATCATCTTCGACGGCCCCGAGGCCCTGCAGAAGGACCCCGAGGGGCCGAACACGGGGAGAGCAACCTGCGCCGCGGCTCTCTCTCTGGCTCTCGAGACGCTGGCTGCCTGGGGAGATCTCGGCGCCCGACGACCCTGGAGCGCAGGGGGCCCCTGCCCGGGCGCGCCCTCGGACTCGCCGTGGCGCAGCAGCACCACGCGGTCGGGCAGCCGCTCCCAGAGGAGCCTCAGCCGCCGCTCCTCCAGGGCGAGGATCGCCTGGCGTCGGGGGAGGGGCGCGTCGAGGAGGGCGGCGAGGCGGGCCAGGGCCTCGGGGATCGTCGAAGCGAGCTCGAGGCGCGTGGAGGGCCCCGCATCGAGGGCCCAGGATCGAGGCGAGAGGGCGGCGGGGAGGGCCTCGAGGGGCGCGGGATCGAGGGTCGCCCCCGGTCTTCGGAAGCACTCGGCGGCGAGCGAGGGGGGGGAAGCGAGAGGGAGGGGGCCTCCTCAGAAGGCGGCGGGGCTCCTCAGAAGCCTCCCTCGGCCTTCCGAGACGCTCCCTGCGCCATTCGGGGAAGGCCTAGAAACCACTCCTCAGAACACCAGAGGCCTTCCGAGCCTTCTGCGAAGGCCAGCCACCTCGCACTCCCCGTTGCTATGTTGGCTCAAGCCATGTTTAAGTCGGGCCTGTCCCCCCACAGGCGGCTTTTCGACGAAAAATCCGCCGCCCCCTGTCGATTCATCGCAGGGGGGTGCCTGGCGTGCTGGATCCTTTCGGTTTTTGTTTTGGTTCTTTTTCCAAAAGACCTCTCCCAATGGGTTTCGGCCCGTCCCGCCGGGGTCCCGGGAGGATTGCCCAGGAGCGCAAACTCCACGAACAATCCTCCCTGAAACGGCCGTTTCGCTCGGGACATCCTCAAAAAATCGCGAAGATGGCCCAAGATGGCCTCCAAGTCCGCCCAAGATGGTCCAAGACGGCCCTCGAGACGTCACAAGAGAGTCGAAGACGGCCCAAGACGGCCCAAGAGGCCCCCCAGAGGCCTCCCAGACGGCCCAAGAGGCCTCCAAGAGGTCCTCCAGGAGGGCCCGAAGAGGACAAAATCATTGATGTTCCGTAGGTGTTGGAAGGACTTTGGAATTTGCTTCTTCTCGCCATTCCGACGGCTCAAGGCGGCCCAAGAGGCCCTCAAGATCGCCCAAGAGGCCCCCAAGAGGGCCCCATGACGGCACAAGTGGCCTCCAAGATGGCCCCAAGAGGGCCCCAAGAGGCCTCCAACACGCCCAAGATGGCCTCCAAGACGCCCAAGATGGCCTCCAAGACCGCCCCGAAGCGCCCCAAGAGGGTCCCCCGTTGGCCCAGAAAGGCCCCCAAGACGGCTCCCGACGGCGTCAGACGTGCCAGGAACCCACCAAGATGGCCGAAGTTGGCTCGAAGCTGGCCCAAGACGGCCCAAGAGGCCCCCAAGAGGGCCTCCAGGAAGGCCAGAAGAGGCCAAAAACATTAATTGTCCTGCGGTTTTTGACGGAGTTTGACATTTCCTTCTTTTCGGCCTTCCGACGGCCCGAGACGGCCCAAGAGCCCCCAAAGATCACCGAAAGATCGCCAAAGAGGCCTTCACGACGGCCAAGATGACTTTCAAGATACCCACGTGTTCCCCGAAGGCTTTCCAAACCGATTCGGGGAACACATGGTCCGATGGCTTGGCAGGTCTGGCCTCAACGTTCGGCCACATAGGCGCTTCCAAAAAGGCAGGGGGCGGCGGTGGTTCGCCGCAGGCGTCTTCGATAAACAATATTACAATATTCCAAAAATAATCAAACATAGTTATAAACAAAATAGTCTGTTATTTGCGTTTTATTTGATGCCCTTTTGGTGTATGTTTGGTGTATTTATTATTGTTCGTCGAAAACCCCCCTGTAGGGGGACAGGCCCGACGTAAATGTTGGCTCAAGCCATGCTGGCTCGGGCCGCCGAGCCCCGTCTCGGCCATCGGGGTGCCTGGCTGCGGATCGCTCGAGGGGCGCGGGCGCGGCGGGGCCACTTGGATCGTCAGGCCGGGGGCGGGGGCCCGCATGCCGCGGCGCGGCGTGGCAGGCGCTCGAGAGGCCCCAATCACCCCCCGTCCGGACGCGCCGCCGAAGAATCCCGCACGGAGTCCGAGCGTGCAGGGTCGGAGGATCGCGCCGCACCGCCGAGCCGTCGCGCCGATGCATCGGCGGAGATGCGTCGAGGACGCCCGCGATGCATCGGCGACATCGGGGTGGAGAGCATCGGGCTCGAAGCAGAGCGGCATCGCTGATGCATCGGCGATGCGGAGCGATCCTCCGACTCCGTCGGCTCTGGTCCCCATCCGGGAGGCCTGGAGCGTTCCGGCGCGGGGCTCCGGACGCGCGCTCGGTCGGCACGGCCAGGTCCGCCTCGGACTTCTGGCCCAAGAGTACCCCAAGGCAGGCCCTGGGGAGGGGGAGCGGGAGGGGCGGACCTCACGATGATACCGGAAGGACTCCCATCGACCCCCGCGAAGGACGAAATCAAGGAGCAGAGACAAATACGACGCAGAGCCGCCGACCGCAGCCAAATCGCGAACTTCAAGCTGCACAATTTGCGGAAGAGAAGACCGCCCCTGTTGTTAAATTCTTCGCACTCCACCCTCCGCTTCAAAATGCACCTCCTGCCCTGCATGATGCTACCACTGTTCCTCGCCGTCCTCGTCCGCATTTCGTTCGGAACAACCGGGAGGGGCGAATCTCCTTGATCGAGGAAATACACACCCAGATGAGGCGACGCCAATCCTGGGGAAAGCAGCTCCTGACCCAAAGCGAAGTTCGCCAGAGGCCCAACTCCAGCCCCAGGGGGTGAGGGCAACGATTGGGGCGGACTGGCAAAGTGGGGGGAAACATCAACCTGGAAGCTGCGAAGCACCGCCGATAGATCGGCGATAGGCCACCGATAGCAGATCCCCACGCTCCTGGGCGGGATGGGGCTATCGGGCCCCAGTCAGAGATCAATGGGCGATTTGGGGTCGATGCGCTCGGCGGTGGACAAACCTCCCTTTAGCAAACCTCCCCTTAGTGAAAACGGCCTGGGACCGAAGCCGACGGACCTGGACATGCAAAAGTGACGGCCGCGACGCCCTCTCGCGAACCGAGAACGGCCGATTCCTTGATCGACGTGTCAGGGTAGGAGGCCTATCCACCTCCGACGTCCCCCCCCCCTATGCATATCCCCCCCCCGTAGCGTTGCGCCCGAGGGGAGGCACTTCACGTGGCATCCCACGGACCGGACCCGGCCGTCCGTGCGCAGCAACGACGCGGGCGCCGCGGCCAGTGTGCGGCACGGAACGGCAGCGGGGGCGGCCCGCGGAGGCCCCGGCAACAAGCTTCACGGCAGGCCAACTTTATTTTCTTTTCCCAAGACGCGAGGCGCTCCCTCGTCCTCTGCCGCCGCATCCTCCTCGTCCTCGCCACTGTCCTCGCCCCCTCCTCCTCCTCCTCCTCCTCCTCCTCCTCCTCCTCCTCCTCCTCCTCGTCCTTCCGTCTCAGACGCCGCTGCCTCCGCCGAGACCTTCCTCAGAAGGGCGAGAAACGTCCGGCGCAAGGGCCCCCTGCTCGCAAAGGACGGATTGTTGGTTGCGCCGCCTGGTGCCGCGGGCCTGGACCGAGCATCGCGCTACCGATCCCCCTCCCGAAGGTCACACGCCTCACACGGCTGGTTGCTGACACCAGTGAGACACAAAGGGTGAAGCAGAAAGCACGGGTTCCAACAGCAAAAACAAAGCAAGACGTGGAACAAGCATTCACTCAACGAGCAATTTCCTGGCACACGCTCATGAGTTAGCTCCCGCTGGCAGGCGCGCCGCAGCGCTTCCAGATGTCCTGCAAGCGCTCACTGGCCTTCCCGTGAGCGATGTACCACAGCCCCTACCAACTTTGACGGTTTGTAGTCTTTTTATTAAAGTATTTCCGGAGATGTTGTTGACCTCTTGTCCCTCATTTTTATTGCTCAGAAGCCACCGGCTTCTTCACACCCTTCCCTCCTCCCCCTCTGACTCCTGCTCCAGCGCAGACCCAGGCTCACTCACACTCAGACTCACTCGGAGTCACTCGCACTCATACTTACTCACACTCAGACTCTCTCACAATCAGACCCGCTCACACCTATCCCACGCAGGCTTGAAGAGACGAGGCGCTGGTTTCAGCACTCCCAAGGGGGAGCCGCAAGGGTCCGTTCACGCCCAGACTGTGGGGATGTCTCAGGCGGTTTCTCTTGTTTGGCACTCAGACTCGTCTGCTTTCAGAGCACATTGTGAGGATGTCTCGAGCGTGGCGTTGGCTTCAGCACAACCCCATCGGCGAGCCGCCAGGGTAATTTCAAAGGCCCCGTCGCGCCCAGATTGTGGGGATGTCTCAGGCAGTTCGCCTGTTTGGTTCTGCTTTCAGAGCCGGTGTCTCGAGCGAGGCGGTGGTTTCAGCACCCCAAGGGGGAACCACCAGGAGGTATGGCACTCCCCCGTTCGCGCCTAGATCGTGGGGATGTCTCAAGCACGTTGTATGTTTGGTGGCTTGGACTTGTGTGCTTTCAAAACAGATTGCGAGGATGTCTCAGGCGAGGCGCTGCTTTAAGTGTAATTCGCCTGCCTGCTTGCATCGATGTGTACCCTTCCAGCGCAGATTCTGACGATGTCTCAGGCGAGGCGTTGGTCAGAGCACTCAGGGGGGTACATCCAGAATGCTTCATACAGGTGGTTTTCGTCGCTGTCGCTGTCGTCGTCGTCGTCGCACCCGTCGTCTATTCGGACTAGCTCTCGCACCCAGACACGCCCAGACCAAACACCCTCAGCGAGACGTGCCAGGAAAAGAGGTGCACATATGAGGACCTCCGCGTCGAGTAATTTGCCCGTGGTGGGGACGAGAGAAGCTGCACAACTGAACCCTGAAGCCCGGGGGTCCCTCAAGGAGACGGGTTGGGGACCAGCTCGGGTGCGCCCAGGCTTACAAGGAGGGAAGGAAGGGGAAGGAAGGAGAAGGAAGGGTAGGCGAAGGGCGAGGGCGAGGGCTAGAAGGAGACGGAGGAATAATAAGCCTTCAGGATGATCGTCAGACTCCCACCAGCCCCAGGGGTCCCCAAGTTGGTCGTTGTTCTCGGGCTGACTGCACCTATGGTTGACTCGGATCTGCCTGGGCTGATCCTAAGTGTGACGGGTGGTCCGCCTCACTGGTTCGCTATATGTCCCTCCACGTCCCCTGCTGCAAAGAACTCGCCTGCGAATTGCCTCTGGGTGCCCTGGTGGACTGCGACTGCGACTGCGACCCGCAGAGTGCACCCTGCAGATGCCGCCGGGTGGGGCCGAGGCTCCCGCAACAGCAGAAAGCGTCTGGCGTCTGGGTGGACTGGTGGGGATGCGCGGAGCGCAAAGAGCAAGCTCTTCGCTCCTCGGTCCCCTCTGCCCTATCACCATCCGCCCGCGCGCCCCCCCTCAACCTCTAGCCCCGCCACCTGGCAGCACCCCCCCCCCGGGGGACGCAGGAGCTGGACCCGCCCTGCATTGCACAATCAGGAGCACGGCCTCTCCTCTTGCTCACTGGGCTAGCGTGAGCAAGATTGGTGAGTGATGAGGGTGAAGCCCTGGAAAACCTCGCGAGTGATGCCTCGGAGTGCCTCCAAGTAAAATCCGCTCGCCCTTCCTATGCCCACCAGGCCCCTGCATGACCCTCGGGAGCCCCCCTCCCCCGAATCAGCCCCGCACGAGCTCCGCGGCCGCCTTGTCCAGGCTGCCGGACTCCACCGCGGCCAGAAGTCGCGCCTGCGCGCGGGGCTCTGGGCGCAATGTCGACCGCGGCCCCCGCTCCCGCGCCCCCGAGTGCCTTCGAGATGCCTTTGTCGCCAGAACGGCCTGGGTTCCGATGTACAGAGGACTGCGCACACTTGGAGCGCAAGATCTTATCCAGTAGAAGCGTGCGTCTGGCACCTGAAGCAGCACACATCAACGCGGCGGTACCTCGCACCGTCGCACATGTCTCCATTGTGCGGATGCATCAGCTCATCGATATTCGAAAAGCGACTCGCTGTTGGGCTGCGTATTGGCCGATGTCATGGATGGGTCCGCTTGAAAGTGATTCGTACCCATGTGTCTGATGCATGCTTTCGACCGTCATCCGGCGGGCCTGACCAATGCCGGTCATGAGAGGTATATTCAGAACCGCGTGGAGCTGCAGCCATACGCGTACAGACTTACGTGTGTATACATATACATTTACGACCACCCTTCGTGTGAGAAGAAGTTTCGGGGGGGAGCCAACGTCTCACTCAGTCATATCTCGCTATCGATCTCACAGTCGATCACAAAATCCGACCTCACGATCCAACTTATAATCGATATCACGATCCTCTCACTATCGATCTCACTGTCGATCGCATTGACGATCCCACTATCGATGTCCCAATCAATATCACGACTGATCTCACGATCGATCTCACTACCAACCTCACGGGACAGCACGGGACACCACAGGACACCGCGCCACGGGCCACCACCGGCCACCGCGGGACACCAGGGGACACCACGGGACACCATCGGGACACCACGGCAGGGCACCACGGCGGGGCACCACGGCGGGACACCCCCCGCACTAGCCCGCGAACTGGGGGGGCGGACTTCTGCTCTGGCGTCGCCCCAGCCAGAGGAAGGTTCATCCCTCTCCCCCGCCCGCGCAGCTTCGCCTCGTCCGCACGCACGACACGAACACGAAACCAGAACCGTTTTCCCGATGGGGGGCGATACATCTCCATATATATATATATACATATATAGATGTATGTATATATGTGTGTGTTATGCACAAGCGTGCGCTTTTGTATAGTATCTATATGCATGTGTATATATATATGTATCTATCGATCGATCGGTATGTAGACAGGCATATATATATATATATGTGTGTACACATG